CTCTTCTCTCTATATAGGCAAAGCATTTAGGTATTATATTTGAAATTAATTATTGCCACAACAAGCATTGTTGCTTCTAGTAAAATAGAAGAGAATAATTTTTAAAATTGGTCTTAGATTAAGGTCCTTGAAAATTTTGTTGAGGTCCTTGAAAAGTCCTGGAAAGTCCTTGAGTTTCAATCTCATCATAGAGTGGGAACCCTGGAATAGTATTCCTGACTCTTATGATCAGCTGAAAAATCTCGCGTTTGCTGTTCTTTCCCTTTTCGGTTCTACATATGTATGCGAACAATCTTTTTCAAGCATGAACATTATCAAGAGGAAACTGAGAAGTCGTCTTATTGATGAGAACTTGGAATCACGCTTAAAATTAAAAACAACAACATACAAACCTGACATATTCAAACTTTCCAAGGAGATGCAAGCACATTGTTTGCATTAATAAATATTTATTAAGTATGAAATTTAGTTTTATTTAGTGTACTACTTATTTAGCGCAATAAAAGTTTACTAAACAAGCAGATTTGGCTCCCAATTTTTTAAAAAATTGTTGTAATGTTCATATTTGGCTCTTTGGCTAATAAATTTGCCGACCACTGCGCTAGCGGAAAGATGAAGCGAGCTAGCTATGAAATGATAACAAAGTGGGTAGTAGATTCTTAGGCTGCGGTACTCGCAAAAACAATCACTCGGGCATTTGCGAAGGCCGGGATCATTAAGCTCGGGGATGACTCCGATAGCAATGACTCCGATGAGGACTCCTCTAATGTTGATGAATGCACGGCAAATGATGAAATATTTAACCTTTTTAACTCCGATAGTGATGAAAGTGACTTTGAAGGATTTTAAATACTCAATTTCTACATTGCTATATATTTTTTTCATGAAATTGTTAACTGAAATGAATTGTTAATCTTTTCTAAATCTCTTTTTTAATAAATTCTTTGCTTAAAATTTTTCATTTTATTTTTCTTATTACATTGTTTTGCAGATTTATGTGATCAGTCTCAGCGTTTATTCTTCCGCTAAATATGGTTGAATTATTTTTGTTAATAGAAGAATTATTTACTTTTCTAAAATTTGAGCTTCTCCAACCTTTTTCTTCTGTTTTTTTATCAGCACCGATGAGCATATAAATATTTTTTGCAGTTAATTATTTGCTCTTCTGTTTTTTTGGCACGATGCCAACTAATAAGAACAACTATATTTTATACCGTTTTGTTGCTTTTTTTTTTTTTTGCTGAAGGAGAAAATTTTTATTATGTGAACTCTTTGTTAACGCATTTTAGGATATTCTCTCCCCCCCAAATAATTTAGAAATTACATTATTTGATGTATTTAAAAATATTTTGTTGTAACTTAACATTATTTTCAGAATTATTTATTGTACATAACTTTATTTTTTGGCACGGTGCCAAATGGTAAGAACAACTTTATTTTACATTCTTTTTTGCTGAAAGAGAAAACTTTTTTCATGTGAACTCTTTGTTAACGCATTTAAGGCTATTCTCCCCCCCCAAATAATTAAGAATTAATAGTGGGCTGCTCAATTCAAAACAATCATTCAAATCCATATAAAAACTTTTTTTTAAAAAAAATTACATCTTTTTAGTTAATACTAAGTCATAAAAATAAATTTGAATTTAAATAAATGACATGTAATTCGTTAAGCCTATTAGAAATGTGCTATAGTATAATTCGTGATATAAATGAAAAATCGTCAAATAAATTCGTGAAAAAAAGCGCTTTAGACAAAATACTAAAATAGAGATCTATCGACAAAGACTACTCACTTCTGCCTAGCTTAATAGTATGTGAGATTGCCGCAGCTGATGTTCTCTGGTTATTTCAGTTTCTGTTTTTAAAAGTGCTATATGTTGAGCCACCTCAGCTAGATTTGGCATGTGACATTTTTAGCGGGAATCATTGGTCGATTTTTTACCGTTGCCATTCGGGGAGTTGTAATGAGGCTTTTTTTTGTCGCTGTGTAAGAGAAATAGTAACGTAAACGAAACAAAGCAGACGTTGCCACCGGCGGAAAAGAAATACAGCCATAATTTGGGAGCCACATAAGAGAATTATATATATTAGATGTTATTTGATGAATCTAAAAATATTTTGTTGTACTTAGCATTATTTTCAGACTTATTTGTTGTACTTATTTTTTTGGCGCGGTGCCAACGGGTAAGAAAACTTTTATCTTGTTTTGTTGCTTTTTTTTGTTGCTAAAAAGTTTATTTTTCATTATATTGATATTTTATAAGGTAATTTAAAGGTCTCTTCTATAAGGATGCTGATATGCGAGGCGTAGCACCTTTGCGGTGCTTACTATAATTTTTGTTAAAAAATTTCATTTTTATCGATGTGCGGCACTTGCGACGAAGCGGCGCTTTCGCCGAAAAATACGGTAGTTAGATTTTACAGATCCTATTCATATACAGTTTCAAAAATTACAAAACTCTCAAACATTTAAATCTTTATACCAAGCACATTATTTATCTAGTTCTTTTTTCACCCATCTACAGTTACAGAATTTATTAATTTTTAAAGATCATCAATATTTAATTGTATCAGGGATTTGAAAAAATATTTCTTATTACATTCATTATTCATAATTAACATTGTGTTATTCTGATTCAATGCTTCTAAAATAATACTTCTTTCTAAGTTCTTTTTTTCACCCATATACGGTTGCACAGTTTTATTAATTTTTGAAAATTATCAATATTTAATTGTAACCAGGGATTTGAAATAAGAAAAAGAAATAGATATTAATTGTATTTATTTTTAATCATTTTTATATTCATGTACAGTTTAAAAAAATATAAAACTTTCAAACATTTAAATCTTTATATCAAACACATTATCAACATTGTGTCATATTTCTTATTACATTCATTATTAACATTGTGTTATCCTGACTCAATACTTCTAAAATAATACTTCTAAGTTCTTTTTTCACCCATCTACGCTTGCACAATTTATTAATTTTTAAAAATTATCAATATTTAATTGTAACCAGGGATTTGAAAAAAAAAAAACGAAGAAATAGATATTAATTGTATTTATTTTTAATCAATTTTATACATTCTATAAGCAATAAAATGAAAATCCACGTTGGTGAATTACTAGGGAATGTAAAGAGTGTGTTTACCTCCTCTCCCTCTCATAATATTTTCTAATTATCTACTATTGCCTACTTGAAAAGGGATATTTTCTAAATAATCCTTCTTATTTTTCAATATTTATAAAGATGTAAGTTAATTCATAGCACTTAAAAATTAATTGAAAAGCTTTTAGATAAATAATTTAAATTATTATGCAATTATTACATGTATAAGCAATTGTTCAATATTTATGTAGGCCAAGGTACAAAATTTCCATTCACCATCTTGCTATTGGTGAACAAACATTTAGGGCTAGCTTTAAGATAACAGAGTTTGACTCTAGTGTACCATAGTTGGTGAATTATAGAATTTGACTCTAAGACTGCAATTGACAGATGGTATTTTTTATATTTTAATTTTCTAATACGTTTCTTATTTCAATGTCTTTTAATGATATGTTGATGATATTGAAATCACAAATTATGGTAAATTATGGTCAAAAATCACACATTTATGGTAAAAAAATTATGGTTCAAAATTATGGTAACCTTATTTTAAGTTAATATTGTTATTACTTTGCAATAAATATGTTTCCATTTTTCAATTTCTACTTTCTTTTATAGTTTTTGACACCAAAATGTCTTTTATGCTACATCTGTTAGTATTTTAAAAATGGAATCAAAGTATTAACATGGTGCATAGTGTTTTTAAAAAGTGCTTAAAGGTGCTTATTTTCGATATTCGTTTTTTAAAAGCCCTTAAAGGTGCTTTTTCCTTGGGTGTTTTTAAAAAGTGCTTAATTTTTCTTTTTCAAAAAGGAGATATTTTTTCTTTACCATGTCGATTTTCGCCATGTATTATGCAAAAGCGTGCTTTTCACATTGTTCTATTTTACGTTTTCACAATTCATTCAACAATTTATTTCGGCATACCGTCAGTTCATAGCGTATAAAAACGCTAATCATTTTACATGTTTGATGAAATATTTACCAGTTCGCATGAGCATCTACTGAGCTGGGTTCGGTGAGATTATTGCACTCTCATGTGTAACTCTGTTGCATTTTGTTTGCAAGATGTTCTCAGTTTCAGGCTTCATTTTTCACACTCTGATATTGAACCGAAAAATATAATGACTAATTGGAATGGCAAAATATAATGGCGAAAAATATAATGGAAAAATGTAATGGCTAATATTTTATAATGGCTAATATAATATAGAAAAGAGTTTTTTTTATCAGAAATTAGTTATTTTATTATGATCATGTAAAGTTTTTGAAAATTATTTTACATTTTGTTAATGTATAGTGCTTTCAAATATTTTTTGAGTGCTTAAAAGGTGCTCATTTTTTGTTGATAGATTTGGCTACACACCCTGATTTAATTAATTAAAGCAAATTTTAACAAAACACTTAAAGAAAAATACTTTAATATAAATAAGTCGAAATGGAAATAGAAGCCGGGAGAGCTGTATTAAGATCTCCGTACTTTTGAGTGCTGATCGTGAGAGCTGCATTAAGTTCACGGTCGTGGTCACTCTTGTGTTGCTTTTAGTAGTTGAGTGTATACGTCGAACGTCGTGTGTGATGGTGACTGAGAAGCAACAGTGTGAGGAGGTCAATGTCACCTTCACAAGTAGCGAGTCAATTGTTCAATGTGTGGATTATCCATCGAAGTAGGTTTGTTCAAATCGTAGTGGGCGTTTCTGCCAATGTAGGCATGTTCACATCACCTCTGTCACCAATGTGGGGAGTGAGTGGTTATCTATGAAAAGGTACCCCACCATAGAATCGAGTTAACATGTCTTATATACTAGTAGTGAATTGGAATCATATTTTTGTAGTGCACTACACCCATTATCTGTGTTTATTCTAATGGATGTTGTATTTTGTGTAGAAGGAGAGAAAAATCCTTGAAAATAAGAGACTTGATCTGGATGCTTGTAAAAGCAGGCTGAGGAAAGCAAGATCCATGGAAAGCCAAGCTAATGTAAGACATTTATAATTATTTTTTAATTATCTCTTTAAAACCCTCCACAACAGGGTTGCCAATCCACTGGGAGAAATACCTGGAAAGGAATACAAGGAATTTTTCTGTTACAAACTGGGAAAAAAAGAGGGAATTTTATTTATAATTTTTGTCTTTTAAAAAATGCTGAGCTCTCAGCGCAATCTATGGAATATTTAAAGATCAGCTATATTATATTATTTAATTTATTATAGCATTATTTGTTTTATGCTGAGCTATTTCTCATTTCTCCAAGTTTTTCCAGACTAATATGATTCACAAGAGCACAGGAAATGTGTGTTTCTTCTTAATATATGTGCACGGAAAACACAGGGAATTTTTTCTTAGACACACATAAGTGGCAACCCTGTACAATGAGAAAAATATCTTTTGGTAGAAATATATGTTTATTTATTTTTGTGCATACTTTTTGTTGAAAATTTTTTTTTCTCCATTTTTTTATTTGCCACACAAAATGTTTCCAAATATTTACATTGTGGCTGTGCGACTTTACAAATTTTACATTATTAACATCAACTTACAGGTAAAAGTAGAATGCTCTCACTGAGAGTATAATTATTATCTGCTTAGCGACCTTGATAGCAAAAAAAAAAAAACCTTGCCTACATTCCCTGAGTTTAAGGTTCTAGATACATTAAGAAGCCAGATAGGAACATTTACTAGAAACTTGAAGGCTTTTCTCAAAAAACTGTACATGGTGTACCTTTTTATTTTTAATATATGAATCAAGCACCCTTTTTTAATACAAAATCTCAGAGTTTCATTTATATGATCTAATTTGAATTAAAGTGTAATATTCTAATCAGGGACAGTAAGTTTCTTCTACTACAAAAAAAAAAAAAANAAAAAAAAAAAAAAAAAAAAAAAAAAAAAAAAAAAAAAAAAAAAAAAAAAAAATCATGGAAAAAACTACCCAGGAAGGATTAGATTTTTCTAACCTTAGTGGAAGAAACTGTTTTTCAAAAAGAAATATCAAACATTAATATTTCAATATAATTTAAATAATAGTATTAATTTCAAAGCTATAGCTTTATAATGTATAATAGCTATATAATAGCTTTGAAATCGATACTAATTTGCATAATAATAGTAGTAATTTCAAAGCTATTGAATATATCTTTTCTTAATAAATGAAAACTAAACTGAAAAGCTAGAATTGTAAAAAAAATAATTTAATGAATTTCGTAAGAAATCACTACTTCCCTTTCACTACTTTATATAAAGGGTTCGTAAAATCTAATTTGATAAGTTTGTGGAGTATAATTAACATGGAATTAAATTAACAAATTATGCTTAAATCAAAATCACAGCTACAAGTTATGTGTTCTCATTTAAATTATGAAACTAAATATTATACTAGTTTTCATAATAGAGTAGTGTTGAGTATGAATAGTAAAAGCAATTCTTAAATAAAGATTGCTTAAATTTAGAATATTTTTAATGTGGATTATTTTTTACATTTCTAATAATAAACTAACTTTTTTCAAATTGTAATTTATCCAATGATTATGTGAGTTTTTAATATTAAATTTAATATAAATCATTTATTTTATCTATTTAAATATTCTATTAAATAATCTAATATTCTGTTTAAAGTATCATTAAAAGAATTCTAATTGTGGAATAGGTTTGATATTCAGAGGACAAGTATTTCTTCTAAATATCAAAAAAAAAAAAAGAAAAAAAAAAAAAAAAAAAAAAAAGAAAAAAAAAAGACATTAATTTTCAAAATAAAGAAGAAGAAAATGTCCAATGTTAAATACAACATTGCTTTTTGGCAATTTAAAATTTTCTCTTTGTATAAAATCACAGCTACAAGTCATGCGTTCTAATTTAAATTATATAAAGAAATATTATACTAATTTTCATAATAAAATAGTGTTAAGTATGATTAGTCTAAAAAACAATTCTGAAATAAAGATAACATAGATTTAGAATATTTTTAATGCAGATTATTTTTTTACATTTCTATTAATAAACCAACTTTTAGCAAACTGTAATTTATCCAACAATTTTATGAGTTATTCATTGTAAATTTCTATTCACATGTTGGAGAGTTTTCTTTTAAAAATAAATTTATAAATCCACAAACTGTTCAAAAATATTTAATATAAGTTTTAAACTCAACAGTTGTTAAAAAGTCACTTTTCTGGTTTTTCTCACTGAGATTGTGGAGAATTTAGTGATAATTTCTTTTTCATTTTCAAATATTTAAGAATTTTTACAAATCACATTTTCTCTGATGAAATAAAGTATTTTTTTTTATCCTGATAAAAAGTTTTGACTTTAGGTATGAAAAGGGTTGTTACAACAAAATGTAGAAAATTAAGACAAATTTCTATTGTTAATTTTTTTAATTCTAGAAGTTTTGAAAGGTATAATTTAGTGTCACCTGATTTTTTCAAGTAATTATCATCTATTTAAATATTCTATTAAATCATTTAATATTCCATTTAAAGTATCATTATAAGAAATTGTAATTGTAGAATAGGTTTGATATTTGGAAGAAAGTTTTTTCTTCTAAATATTAAAAAAAAGGGAAAAAAAAAAGACTTATCAAACTTCAAAAAACATTTAAAAAAATGTTCACTATTAAAGACAATGTTGCCTCTTTGCAATTTTAATGTTTTTTTTTGAGTGATTGCAAAATCGAATTATTGGCTTTTAGGTTATCTAGTTTGTATGAAAACTGTTGCAACAATAGTTTAAGAGAGGTAAAATAACGTCGTTAAATAACGATTTGCATTTCAACTTATCGTAAACATCGGAGGAAAAGTTGAAGATTTAAAAAGATGCAAAAAAAAAAGTGATGAATTGAAAACATTCATTGAAAGTAATAAGCAGTGTTATCCAAAGAAATAATTTTAAAGGGTAATTTCACTCCTCTATTAATTTTAAAATAGAGAATACGTTTATAAACTGCTGCTGTTTTGTAACACTGATTATATTATTATAACAAATAAATTATATAATGTAAACACACAAGAATTATTGATTGAATATTTAACCAAAAGAGAAAAAAAAAACATAATTCTACATTACCTCGAATATTTTTTCACTATTTTACTGTATTTTTTATTAGTATATTATTTTTCATTATTCTAGGGTTAATTAGGCTGAGGTTCTTGAAAAATATTAATATAATATATGGAATTTAATTATGTGCTTTTTCTTGTTTTTTAATAGTACTGCTGTTCAAAATTTAAATTCTATGATACTTTCATTGATGGCATGAAAAAAAGTTGAAAAATGACTAATTCTGGCTTTTTAAATTTTATTCTATTTTAAGTTGCTTAATCTTTTTTTTAGAAAACAGATGCAGTTATTGGCAATGTTAAAGCAATGTCAATTATTTTCCTCATCTTATATCTATCAAATATTTATCAAACTTTTTTGACTAAAGATGAACTAATTGAATTCAATAGCAATTTTATCTAATTTTAAAACTTTCATTTAATTGAAAACTCAGCAGAAATTTTTACAAAATGGCATTATTAGTAATCAGGATCATTGTGTCTAAGTATGTGATAGTGACTAGGTATGCACACTTTTTGTTAATTAGTTGTGAAATATAATATCATATATTTTTTTTAATCAATAATCTTAAACCATTTTTTGTCAAATATCTTTTATAACTTTTTTTTTTAAAAATTCAATGCTTTAAGATTCAAATACTTTTAATTTAAATTTTAATTCATTGAAATAAAATAAAAATACTACTTAAAGGTTCATCAATTTATTATTTTCAATTCACCCACGGATGACACAACAGTAAAAACTGTTTAAGTGTCAAAAACTTGCCAACTCTGATTCATACTTTCATAATACTTCCCTGTATGGACTGGTTACATGAAATCTGCAAGTCTAAATTACTGGTCTACAAAATAATATTTTAGCCTTTGTAGAAATTTTAATGAAAAATCAATAAAAATTCAATTTAAAAAAAATCACATAATATAATGCATATTTTTAATAAAAATCATCTTATATAGTAATTTGTAATGGTTGGATAATCTTCAGGAGACTAATCATTAGAGTTTGCATTATTTTATTATTTATTTACAACGATAATATTAAAGTATAAGGAAGAGGAATATAAATCAGCACAGCGCATCATGCCAAAGACACAGCATAGATTGTTCTACCGAATGAAAATTTAAAGTTCTTGATGGTGGTTACAATAAAGTTGAGTCGCCACAAGTTTTAAATGCATATCAATTTTAAAAACAGAAGTCATAACATTGGGTTTATATTTTATAGTTAGAATTCAAGATCAAATTGATTTACTTCTTGTTTTCTATCAAGCTTAATGTTTTAAGTTTATTAATGTTTTAAGATTTAAATACTTTTTATTTAAATTTTAATTAATTGAAATAAAATGAACTAAGTACTATTTAAAGGTTCATCATTTTATTATTTTCAATTCACCCAAAGATGACACAACAGTAAAAACCGTTATGTTAAAACCGTTATGACATAACAGTAAACCAAAAACTTGCCAACTCGGATTCATACTTTCATAATACTTGCTTGTAATGACTGGTTACATGAAATCTGCAAGTCTAAATTACTGCTCTACAAATGTAAATAATGTTTTGACATTTATAGAAATTTTAATAAAAAATCAATTTGAATTCAGTTTAAAAAAAAAAATCACTTAATATAATGCATATTTTTAAAAAAAATCATCTTATATTGTAGTTTTGAATGGATATCAATTTTAAAAACCGAAGTCATAACATTAGGCTTTTATTTTATAGTGAAGATTCAAGATCAAATTGATTTACTTCTTGTGTTCAGTCAAGCTTTTAGTTCATAAAATACTAACCACTAGAATTTATCTGTGGTGAATATGATTATTTAAACTAAGAAATTGCTTAATCATTTGATGCTTAATAGCTAAGAAATGCATGTTCTTATTTTGGAATAAAAAATAATTTAGTATATCATTATTAGACATTTTCTTTTCCTTATCAAATTGATAATTATTTAGAATAGTTACATTTTGAGGAGTTACTCCTCATCAATTCTCTGAAACTGTTTTTACAGTTCCTTTCAGATTCCTTCGCAATCTGACCAAGCTGAGCTCCCTCACTGTATTGTTATGTGCTTTATATGTACCCTGGTACTCTTTCAAAAAAAGTACTGAAAATAGGCAACACTCACAGACAGTGAAACCTTTAATTTAAAAACATTTTATTCAATTTACATGCATTAGATTTGATTTGCGATGCTAAATTGAAACTATTTCTGAAGCAAATAATTTAAAGAATTTTCATGTGTGCACAATTTTAATATTTCAGTGAAGTCATTCCAACATAAACTTGTAAAAAATCTGTGAAAGCCAAGGAAAAATTTATTAAAAGAGAGTAAATGAGACCAATCTGATAATTACATCTATTGATAAAATACATCTTTTTTCTGCATCAATAATGCAGCATGAATAAAACTTACATATAGATTTAAATCATTATTGATCTTGTATAATTTAATAACATAATTAAAACATAAGTATTTGACTTTTCATTTTTTGCTTAACTTATAGCTCAATTTGTTTCTATTTTTCATAGCCCATGTGAGAAATTAATTAAGCATATTTGTTTAAGCTTTCACTCTTATAACTGCTCACTCGCTTGATACTTCATTTCTATATTGCCAGTGCAAAACAGAAATTCTAACGATATTTTGTAACAATCTACTTGTATCCATAGATATGCATTGGTATTTTGTATAATATAGATTTTTTATGTTGCACATATTGTATTCTTTGGACATGCACCTCATACTTGATTAAATCATCTTGACAATTATTTATTTAATTATTTTTCTCTCTGTTTTAATTATCTGTTTTATTATGAAGCTTAAACCTGACCAGGTTCAGCGTGAGATTCAGCAGGTAATCAATTTAATAAAAGCTTATTGTTTTAAGCAATAATCTTGTAATGTTTTTTTTTTGTATGTGTTTTAACTGTATATTGTTTTTTTTAGCTCATCAGTACTACCTTTTTATTTGAGGTTAATCAAGTTGTCGAAACGTTATACAATAACAGTTTTTGTTAAAGGAATTTCATTAGAAAAGTCAGCTTGTCTGGCAATTTATAGTCAGCTTGTCTGGCAATTTATAAGAGCCAGTGGGCAATACAGACCACATTGTCACAACTGTGTGGTCTGTATTGTGGCGTCTTAACCTAAATGATCCCCCGGCCCACAATGGGCTGTTGCGGCTGTTTTCAATTATTAAATCCATGAGCAAGAAGACATATAATGCATTTTTCACATAGAACATATCTGTCAAGTCTGCCATGAACATACCTGTGTTCTAACGGAGACTCCTGTATTTTATGACTATCTCCTGTTTACCTGTATGTTCTTAAATTTTTTCGTATTAGTTGAAGAAATTTAAATAAGAAATTTTTTTTTGGAAATAAAATATCCATTGATGGCAAAAATACTTCTCTTATTCCTCAACAGATAGTGCTATTGCCTGCACTGCAGTCTGTTGAGTGTTAAAAGTTTAAGAACCCCTTGCAGTCAGGCTAACCGTGGGACATTTTCGTGGTTTTCGTCTCCATGTAACGCAAATGCAGGTTAGTACCATCAAAAAGTCCTCCACAAAGGTAAATTTTTCCCAGTACTTGATTGATTCAGGAGTTTCCTTGTCTTGTGGATTGAGTTCAAAATTACAAGACTACAGAGTTAAAAATTAGTAGCTGTAAACCCGAAATTGGGTCAGCTGTTAAACAACAGTTTTAAAATAATTTAAGTAATTATAAATAATGGTTTCAAAAATCTTCTTCAGATTAAGATTTATATACATATTTTTTGCTGAATGTAAGTGCTTATATTATTTCCAATTTTAAATTTCTCTTTTTCACTTACATTATTATGCTTGATGTTTTGAATTTCTTTTTTTGACTTACATTATCATGTTTGATGTTTTGAATTTCTCTTTTTGACTTACATAGTCATGCTTGATGTTTTGAATTTCACTTTTTGACTTGCATTATCATGCTTGATGTTTTCAATTTCACTTTTTGACTTACATTATCATGCATAACTTTACTCATAAGCTAAAAAATGTCTCCAATATTTTATCTCCCCAATGTTGGCAGGTATGATAGAATAACATAAGTATAAACCAAATTGTATAGCCAAAAAAAATAAAAATAAAATTGCAATGATGCAATCTTTTCTCCCTACTCTAATACTGCCAAAGCCAACTAAAAAGGTTAATTCCAGTTGAAATGACATCATATTCCACTATCATATGACATCATATTTACTAAAAGGCCTCCTACATAAAGTTAATTCGGGATGAAAAGAAAGAGCTTTTAGCTGCTCTGTGACCCTGCAAAGAACAGCTTCCGTAGAATCCATTTGCTTTGAATTTTAATCTCTGTTACACAGTTTAATCTCATAAATTTAAATATTTCATTTTCAATCACTTTCTATGTGAATAAATTCCTATTCTTTATAACTTATTAATATCATTTAATTGCACTTATATAAATTCTTATTCAGTTGAACCAACCAAAAATCTCAATGGTTGCTGATTAATTGTAATAAATTAATTGGTAATAAATTAATCAATAAATTTATATAGCATGATTCTGTATTTATTAATGAATTGCAAACTTAGTTATAATAACATTTATTAATTCATGTATTCATAAATAATTATTATACTAGACAAAATATTGGGTTATAGATTTTGTAAGAAAACCATTAATTTAAAATTAGTTGACCATTCAAACCATACTTTTTTGAATAAATTATAATATTTTGAATTTGTTGTAAACAATAAATAAATGCACACTGAATAATATTTGCTATAAAGCTAAAGTTGTACTTATTGAAAATAGTTGTTTCTTACATTCATAAAAATATGTTTTCATAAAAAATGTCACATAAAAAATGTTACATAATCTACTAAACTATTTGTTATTATTATTCAAAAATTTATTTTTTAAAAATATGCATCTTAATCCTATTAATGTCAAATACGAAGGAAAATATTCCAGTAAATATAGCTTTGTAGTTATTTGTTTAATATACTCTTTATTTTTTATTTTCCTTTTTTGATTTTTAAAATTTATAAAATGTTCTAATCCAGAATATTTTAGTTATTGTGCGATAGTTTATTGAATTAATGTTTTGCAAAATCTACTGAAATGTCTTCCTATCAAGTTGGCAGCTATTTTAAAAAGTTATTATAATTTTTCACCTTAGCCTGTACGTTTTTTTAATAACTTATCATCAAAACTCTGCTTTTGAGATGTGATTACTTATCAACCCTTCTACTTTTTTTAAGTTCTGTTTTTCATATTGTTTTATTTCATTTTTTAAAGTATTAATTTATTTTAGGGCAATTTTTTTTATCTTAGTTCAAAGTGTTTTTCTTTTACATTTTTTTAAAAATCATATTTTAAAGCTCCGCTTTTTAGTAGTAGTTCATCATAATCAATCTATTTAGTTATACATTTTTAAATACTATTTCTCATATTGTTTTATTTTTTATAGATTTGTTTTCTGATTACATTTCAAAACTCAGATTTTGAAATGTATTTCATTGTAATCCGCCCTTTTATTCTTTTAAATGCCTATTTTTAATATTATTTTGTAGGCTGAAACGGAACTCAGAATTTCTCAGGCTGAATTTGACAGACAAGCTGAAATCACTAGACTCTTACTTGAAGGGATTAGCAGTGCTCATGTAAGTCAATCAACAAACATGTCAATCAACAACTTATGTGCTGATGTAAAATATCCTCAGTTGTAGACGGATCATGGGTTAGAATTCCTTTGCCGTCAGGCTAACTGTGAGAGGTTTTTGTGGTTTTCCTCTCTATGTAACGCAAATGCGGGTCAAAAATTCCTCCACAAAGACAAATTTCTCTCAATTCTTGATCCAGGAGTTCTCTTGTCTTCTGGATTGGTTTCAAAATTACAAGGCTACAGAGTTGAACATTAGTAGTCGTTAACCCAATAAAGTTGGTCGGCTGTTCAACGATGGTTTTAAACGATCACATCACTTTTGGATTGTTTTTTGGTCATTTGCACAGATTCTTTCTGATTCCAATTTTATTACAACATGCAAATTTCAAACTTGAATCATTATTTTTTTGACATGCTCGATTCGCGATGATTTTATCATAAATCCACGTTTTTACTGCTCATTTCTTCGCTGGTTATCCATCGCTTTTCATTTATTTCCATGTGTTTTTTTTCTAATTTTGACACTTTTAATACGATGTTAATACAATACACGAATTTAGTTTCAGTTGGGACGTTTTGACATGCTCAGTTAGCAAAAATTCTATCTCACCCTTACGCCATTTTTCAATAATTTTTTTTGCAGTTATTATCGTTTTATCGGCCATTTCCACAGTTTTTCAAATGTTAATGTTTTTGATTCAATGTTATTATGGCATGCCCTGTGATAGAATTGTGGTGACATGGCAAAATTGCTGCAAAACATTACAAAGTTCTTGCAAAAAGCGTTTTTATTTGGGAAGCAAAGAAGTTTGTTTTTTTTTTATCTGCAGAAGTTTTCGAAATGATTTTGCAGAGCTTTTTGTTCCCTTTCTGCAGAATTATATTGAAAAAATGCCTTTTTCGCATGCCAGAGGTGGAACAAACACTCGTGATTTTTTTTCTACTTTCTTCGGAGAATAAAAAAAAAAAATCCACAATGACTGGCTTCAGCTAGAATTTCAGATTGATATTATAAAAAGTAATTCCAAATAGCAAAAATTTAAAAAAGTTAACACTACAAATATTTTTGTAGTACAGGAGAATTCGTCAATAATATTAGAATATGTATTATTTTATATGTAGATTAAAAAAAATTCTTACATTTATAATTTAAAAAATTATATACTGTTCCATTCTATACATCAAGGCTCTTCTTTGTAAACAGAAAGCGCTTCTGTTGCTTTAAATTATTTACATATATATATTTGCTACTATTAAAAATGTCTCCCAGAAAGGTATTAGTACTAGAGAGAATTGCCACAGAAAGCTAGAAAAAATTCTGTCACAGGGACAACATGTGATTTTGAAATATTGAGGTAAAACTTTTAACCACTTGATTTTTAACGATTCCATCATAAGCCACATTGTTTTCCTTTCATTATTTATCATTCTTTTTAACCATTTTCACATGATTTTTTAAATTTTGCTAATACAATATTATTACGCTAGGCAAATTTTGAATTTGAGTTATCACTTCTTAAAGCAGTTGGAAAGAAAATGTTATCCAGGTGGATGTAAAATTACATCCACCTGGTGACATCAAAACTTTGATAATTTTATTGGTTTAAAGTAATATACCTATAATCTAGAAATTTTGAAAATCCGGACTGTATAAAGTCCCGAACAACCTGGATTTTCGAGATATTACTGTAATAAAAGAAATATTAAGTAGGAACGAATTTTGGCCTCATTTTAAAAAATCACCTGTTCTGATATTGTTGAATTCAATTAAAGATTTAAAGCAGATGTAAAGTAAGAATTATAAAAGCAATCTCACTTTCCCTTGATAGAGGTAAATTTAAATCTTATTGTTTTTCATGATTCAGTCGTCACGTAACCATATTTTTATAGAACTCAAAGTTTCATTAACAAACAATAATTTAATGTTTACAAAAAGTAAAAGACCTAAAATATAGATATTGCAATATAAATATAGATATGGAGATTGTAAGCTTTTTCATTTTTGTTTGCCTGTGGACATTATTTGCTTGTTTACATTTGTTTTAACATTCACTATGGTCTTCAATGTCAACATTGAAGAATTGAATTTTGAAGTTATGTTTAAAATCTTAATAACATTTATCTTTTTTTTTATTATTTTGAAGTGTACAAAATAAACATAACATAATGTAGACAACATAAATGATGTGATACTATATGTTTAGGATATCTTAATGTAAGAAGTAATTAAAAAAAAAAAAGATTAATCCCTCTATGAGTTTTCCATAAAAACAATGCACTGCAAGGTGTAACTTAAACAGATTTTGCTGTATTAACATTCGAAGTGAACTAAATATTCTCATAAAGAATATGCAGTGCTTCATGTTTAAAACTGTTCAATTTATAATCTTAAATGCTGAAGCAGCTAAAAGTAAAAGAAAAAAAATGTGATATCAAAAATGAGAAAATATATGGAAGAAATTTTGCACGAAACTCTGAAGCAAAAATCACTATTCACAAATGACCCTTGCGATTAACATCAAGAAAATTTTCTCTACAAGCCTAATCTGCTTAATCTTTCAAATATATGAAATATAATAGAAAGCTCTGATCTGCTTTGGCCAGTTTCAAATGAATCAATTCAACATTATATTGAACTTTTTATATTTTAATAAATTGAATCTTAAACATGATTTCAGGCCAATCATTTACGCTGTTTGAGCGATTTTGTCGAGGCACAGGCAGCATTCTACAATCAGTGCCAACAGTTCATGGTTGACTTACAAAAAGAACTTACAAGGTATGCCACATTATCTGTTTTTACAAATAATTTTACTTCTTAAGCTTAATATACTCTAATGACACTTTTTTTTGCAAGATAATGAAAGGACTCAAAATTCTAGAATTTTTTTTTTATATAATGTTATTGTGAAGTATAAAAATCAATTTTTTAAAAGCTGCATAAAACAAAATCGCAGTTTTATAGCTTTTCATCACTTTTTACACTTTTTTTTCTTTTTAAAAAGTGCCAGCCAAATTTGTAGCTCCTAAAGTTTTTACACCAAAATAGCATTTTTTTTCATTGTGTATGTTTTTAGTGTAAAAGCTCATAGAATGTTTTGTACATAAATTTTTGCATAAATTGCACAATTGTTTTTTAAAAATCAAAATCTTCATAAGTATGTTGTTCATAACAAAACTATGCAGTAAAAGAAAATAATTCTATATTCCATTTGTATAATGTTATTTTAAATATGCAGTTTAAATTTGAAGTCAGTCCGAAATTATTTTTCCAAGTTAAGAATTAATGTCTTGAATAATGTAGCTTTAAGCCCTTTCTTCAAATATTGTATTGAAATTATAATTAATCTTTTTAACTAAAATTTAAAAAAAAAAAATGGAAATAATTTTGTTTGAATTCTAGATGGTTAAACATCAATTATTTACTAATTGTGCATAAATTTTTACATAAATTGCACAATTAAAGAAAAAAATCAAAATCCTCAGAATTTTGTTCAGAACAAAACTATGCAATAAAAGGAAATAATGCTACATTCTTTCTGTAAATAATGTTATTTTAGATATGCAGCTTAAATTTGAAATCGGTCTGAAAATATTTGTCCAAGTTAAGAGTGACTGTGTTGTATAATGTATCTTCGAGAAATAAATTTCCTTTCTTTGAATATTGTATTCAAATTATAATTTATCTTTTTAACAAATATTTTTTTAAAGCAATGGAAATTATTATTTTTTTTTTTGAACTCTAGATTGTTAAACATCAATTATTATTTATTTCTTACGAAAATGTATTATTTTTATAAAAAATGAAAGTAAGTTTCTCAGTTTCAAATAATAAAATGATCAAATGAATTAATAATTTAATTCAAGCACAATTTTTATTTTTTACACAGATTTTTTAACACTTTAGAAGTTTTGTCCTTGTAAGTAGTGTACTGAAATTTTTCTGAATTGTCTAGGGCCTGCTTTCTAACTTTGGTACTTAAGGAAAAAATAGGGTAATATGAGGGAGGATTTGAGAAAAGGGAAAAATGCACTTTCTTCACTGTGAGTGGGATTTTTTGAATGTTGTTTTGATTGCCATTTTTTATTGCCTCTGCTGTCTCGTTAAAATTGCTGTCTTATTATGTCCGATGATTTAAAAAAAAAAAAAAAACGGCCCCTTTTAGGGCCAACTTACATTAATACTGTTGACGACTTGGAACGAAATTCAGCTAATGATTTTTTGGATGTGGACAAACCTATGGTTTCTTATACTGATGCTGGCAATATGGAACGGAATACGGACGATGATTTTTTGGATATGGACAGTCCTATTGTTTCGCAAAATGTTGCTGATGATTTTGTGCTTATTGAACAAAGTGTTGATCAGGAGCCACAAGCAGTCTTGAATATAGTTCTTGCAGAAAGATGTTTAAAAATAGAAAAATTTTACGAAAATGTGCTTAAATTTCATTTGGCTGAAATTCAATCTCTGTGTCCTTCATTAAAACAAGGTAAAGTTTTTCAATTCCCTTGATATATGTGTTCAAAACAATATAATGATATTTGCAATCTACGTCTTCAAGAAAAAACTGCTCATGGAATTATTGATACAAAATCTGATGATTGCCCCATGTGTAATTTTACGGGATCAAAGAAGGATTTGAAAATACATTTTGAAGCAGATCACGACATTAATATTGAAGAAGAAACTCTTCAATTCGAAAGTGAAAGTGACTTTGTAGCATGGAAAGCTAAACTGGAGAAGCTTTGTTAAAGAACATGGTGTTGCCCATGCTACTGCTGGTGTGGAAAAACAGTTCTTCATTTGTAACAGATCTGGTTACTATAAATGTAAAGGTAAAAGGCTGAGACACTTAAAAATGCAAGGCAGTAGAAAAATAAATGGCTATTGCCCTGCTGGCTTCACTGTGAATAGTTCCGCAGGTGGGTGCCTTGTAAAATATATCAAAATACATATTGGCCATACAAATGGAATTGGACATTTGTCATTAACCGAAGAAGAAAGAAGTTTCTTTGCTGCTAAAATTGCAACAGGGACTTCATTTAATAAAATTTTAGATGATGTTAGAGACAATATCCCTCCATCTAGAATTAAGCGAGTTCATTTGCTAACAAATAAAGGCCTGCATAAAATTCAAATGGAATTTAAAGTTGAAGCTTGTGGTCTTAAAAGTGATGCCGCAAGCATTGATCTTTGGGTGAATCACAAAGATAATAAAGATGTCTTATTTTATAAATTTCAAGAGAACGATTGTCCGAAGCATCAAAATTTTCAAAGTGATGATTTTGTGCTTATTATTATGACTGAGGCACAGAAAGAAATGCTAACTAAATATGCTCCTGAATGCATATGCATCGATTTTCAACTGTCAACATTGCTAGTCCTCATTGACATGAGGCAAGGACTTCCATGCACCTTCACGATTTAAAATCAAGATTCATGTTCTGTATTTTTTAATGAGATTAAGGAAGTTGTAGGGGATATCTCAACTGCAATTTTTATGCCTGATATGGCTGAAACATATTATAATGCTTGGTTATCAACATTTGACACTATCCCTACTAACAGACTATTGTGCCTGGCATGTTGATAATGCCTGGAGGAACAATCTTCACAAAATTAAAAACCAAGATTTACGTGTTTTTGTGTACAAAATTTTAAAAACTTCGATTTACAAAATTGATATAAATACATTTGAAGTTCTGCTAAAAAACAATAAAGATATGTTTTCTTTAAGTGATGATTTAAAGCAGTTTGGAGACTACTTTTTTCAGTATTATGGAAATAATTCCGCGTGCTGGGCTTATTGTTATAGAACAAACCTGGGAATCAATACCAACATGCATCTTGAAAGTATGCACCGGACACTGAAATATATTTAATTCAAGGGCAAAAAGGTAAAAAGGTTAGACAAATCTGTTATTCAGATTATGAAATTCATCGGAGATAAACTGTATGATAAACTTGTTATTTTACATAAAGGCAAGCTAGTACCAAAGCTGAGTGACTTGGGTCTGAGACATCAAACTAGCCTTGCATTATCTCTTGATTTTGTTAATGAAATAAAAGATTCATTCGTTGTACTTTCTTCAAATGACCATGCAACAACCTATATGGTAAAAAAGAACAATAAAAACTGTTTATGTCAACTACATTGTGATGAATATGATTCCTGCTTACATGCATATACTTGCACATGTATAGATGCAAGTATTAAAAATAATATGTGCAAGCATATTCATTTGACATCCAGGTACTTACAGGCGAAACAGTGCATTGATAAAGTAGGTGGGAAAACAACTAATTTATGTATTGATGCAGATAAAGCTGATAAAGATTTTGAAGAAAATGTTATAGTTACAGAACTTTTAAAGGAAAGTGGGACAGTGAACATATCATTAATTGAAGCAAAAGAGGCTTCGATAAAAAAATTTAGTGATATGATTTATGGTATCAAAGAAGAAGTATTCAGAAGTTAAAATTTTAAATGACACATATAAATCAGCTCAAGTAAAGTTGCTGGCTCATCATAATTCTACCACTCCTCTAAATCCTTTGCCTCCAACAAAAAAAAGGAAAAATTGCTCCACAACGGCGGCTATTTTCAGCTAAAAATAAAAGAGTTAAACTTAATAATGCTATTTCAAATCCTACCGTCCAAGAGTCCCAAGATATTGCTTTATCTCTAATTATGCCGAAATGAATTATGTGAAGTCTTTACATAGCAGTTAATAGTATAAGTAGTTTTTTTTCTATCAACATATGAAGGGAAACCAGTATAAACTTTATTTTATTTGTATAGGCAATTATAATGTACTATTTGTTTGTATTGAAGTGGCAAACAGCGATGTTCAAGTTTCACTTATCCTTTAACTCATATTTGCTTTCTTAAAACTTCAATTGTTATCCATGTTATTAAGAAGTAAGAAATTAATCAGAAAAGAAAATGATTAAAGAAATAATTGATATTACAAGCAATAAAAGAAAAAATTGTACTGTTTTCTTTTTCTGGCAAATCAACTTTTTATTATAAAATAAAAAAAGTTAATTTTCATTAATCAATTGCTTAAAATTTTTTCCCTAGTAATTATTTGTTTTTCATTATTTTTTTTCTTTCATTTTTCTATAACATGGAGAATTTTAAAATCAGCTCACATATTCCTTTCAAATGATGCAAGTGGGCAGAAATGATCATCCTACTGTTGTTCCGTAATGATAGATGAGTAGGAAATAGGCAGGGAATTTTCAAAATAACTTTTAAGCAATGTGCATGTGCATAACTGGTTTCCATAGTTAGAATGCAGTCTCTAGAAACTTGTAAATTTTTCTACCTTGCATCTCGTTGAATAACATGGAGAAAACCAATTTTTTGCAGGATTTTGTGATTAAAATTCACTGACTTTTTAAAAAATCATCTATTTAAGTAAAAATAAAACGAATTTGAAAAAAATATTGATTTACAAACTTAAAATTTTTTTATTTTAAGCTTGTTTAAATTATTTTATTAATTTTCATAGTTTTGAAACTTATAAATAAATCTCAAAGGTATTTTTTATGCTGTAAATTCCAGTACTTTAGTCAAGAAATTTTAAAAATATTAAAATGCTTTTAAGTTTTTCAGACCAAATAAAAACAAAGTGAATTTTAAGATAATTATAGTTAAATATTGATTTTCCTTCACACACATACACAAAATAAATTCCAACAGAAATTTTTAATAATTCTTGATCTTAAAACGTAACCTTTTAAACCACATTTTATTATAATTTTTATTACAAATAGATTTCTGAAATTCACAGTTTAAAAAGAAACTCAGTTTTGTTCCTTGAATTTTCAGCCTATGCCTTGTGAAAGCAAATGTTTTTTGTAATCTCTCTTAAAGTTTTTTTTTTGTTGAATATTAGCATAAAAGTTCAAAGTCTTATAATTTTGAAAAAATGTGCTTTTTAGCAAAAAAATTATGAAATACACATGGATATTTTCTTACTTGTATAATGTTTTAAAAATATAAATTGTACAATTCTGTTGCTATATTTGAAAAGTTTGTAATGATCCAGGAATCAATTTTGTCAACAAACTTTCCATTTTTAACTGTAGATTTATAAACATTCGTTCTACGGGCAACACAAAGTAAGTTAACTATGTTCATTTCCATTTTAGAAAATGAATAATTACTAAGCAACTTTTCAGATTTAAAGTGTGTTTTATTGCTTTTTGTACTCAATAAAACACAAATCAAATATATTATGTTCTGTCTGAGAGACGAATGCTTACGAATAGTGCATCTCCCATGCATGTGTATGAATCTGCAGTTGAAGTTAAAATTTTTTTTATTGCGATGCATTTTGCATTTTTATTGCGAAATAAATAAATAAAAAATTGCCTTAAAAAGGAGCTGAAAAATAGTTTTTATTGCAGAGATGATTGAGCTCTGGAAAACAAAATTTCCTGATTTTTTCCAGAAAATTTCGGGAATCCAAGGAATTCAGAAGTTTCAAGAAATCACATATCTCATTTATGTATAAAAATTCGTGTATATTTTATTTAAAAATATTAGAACTGGAATTTATTCTTGTCATCTCCTTCATTTGTAAATATTTTTTCTGGTAGAATAATAAATGTGATTTGAGATACTTATACATAATTATTCATTTAAATTATGCTGGATATAATTTATTTAGGAATTCATGTTGTGAAAATATAAATGATTTAAATTTATTAATACATAAATTTTTTGAAATGCGTCCTCAATGATTTTACTCAGAAATTTTCAAGATTTTTGAGTTGGGCTCACAATCACCCCTGTTATTGTTGTATGTTGATGTTATAAAAAATCACTCAGTAAATAATAATAGTTGCATGCTCTTTACATTAAGGATATTAATGTTAAAAAAAAAAAACATCATTTCAAAGTGTATATGTTATTTTAAATTGTTTGTGCTTTAGAATTAACCAATTCTTATCATCTACAGCACATCCACTGCTTCAAAACCTAAGAGCGGTGGTTATCAAGGTCTTTATCCGTCTTCACCCAGTCCTTCAGACATGCCCCTCAATTCCCTTCCTGATGACAAGAAGAGAGCCAGGGTGCTTTACAATTATGAAGCTTACGACACTACTGAATTGTCCTTAACTGCAGATGAGGTATCTTTCTTCTTTTTATTTTTATTTTTATGAGGTTTATATATATCTATATATATGAAGTAAATTACTTTATCTATATATCTATATGCATATGTATAGTAATTTACTATATATATATAGTTAGAATGAGCCATAAAGCAAAATACCTCTATTTACGCTTTTAACTCAATTTGCGCTTCTGTTTTCATATTTCGTTATCTGGCAATCTTATAAGGAAAATATTTGAAATCATTCTTGAAAGATTTCAGTGCATGAAAGTTCATTTGAATTTGCTACTTGCTTTATTGATTTCGTTTTGTGTTTTGTTCTGTTTTTTCTTTACTTTTTATTTTTATTTTCTGTTTTTTACATATGTATTACTGAATGCGTTCTATTTTGGTTCAATTTTTTTTAGTGCTCCTCACATTATTGTATTGATATTTTTTGCTTTGGCTATATTGATGCAATATTAGAAAGCACTCCTTTTTGCGGATATAATCGTGTGAGCTGATGAAGAGATTATATCTTTTTCATTTTCTGAAAATTATTTTTTAATAATTTTTCTTTTTCTCTTTTCTTTAATCGTTATTATTTTCCTCATTTTCTCTATATTTTTAACTTATATATATATATATACTGCTGAAATTAATTAAGAGAATTTGCATATTTTATTGAATTTCATGAAAAGAGCTGAACTACTGCTTTTAGACAAAAATGTAAATCTTATGCATAAAATATGTAATCATGTGTAGACGAAGCCTTTAGAGAAACAGGCTATATAAGTGCGTGTAAGTTTAAGGCACATTTCATTCGCTTGCACCCTCGGCAAATTTCTTGGTGTTATTTTGCAGCAATAGGTTAAATTCAAATTGTAACAGTAAAAATGAGTGGCCACCAACGCTTAGATGATGGAATGAGGTTGGGAATTGCGGGGAGGAGAAGCAGACCAATCTCAGGTCCAGATTTATAGAGAGTTCAATTTTACACCCAGCGTAATTTATCAGTAGTGTATGATTTATTTCTTAATACTTCTCATTAATTCAATAATTATTTGTGAATAAATTTAATGAATACTAATACTTGTCTTTTTAATTGATACTTGCCATTAATTTAAATTTTATTTTGCTTTGGTTATATTTATTATTTGACATACTTAGAAGAAAATATTGGGAATGCTGCCATAAACTATTCTTTGCTTTGCAATTTTAATAAAAAAAAATATTATGTCTGTTGAAACTTTAAATGGCTTCTATAAGTTGTTGATCAAGGTTCATAGAAAACGAGTCATAAATTTATTTAATAATTGAAAATAAAACCCTTAATTCTGTTTAAATAACAACAAATTTGAAAATATTCTTTATTTTGTTAAAAGATTTACCTGTTTCCATGTAAATGTTTTTTGCAAATTTGATTTGAAAGTTGTCAAGTTGAAAATATTTATGTTAAAAGACAACAGGGCAAAGTAAACTAAGATTGCAGCATTTCTCTGATGAGATATGAAGTTATAAAAAGGCTAATAAAAATATAATGCAAGTGAAGTGCAAAGTACTCTCTTGCAAATTTTATTTTTTATTTTTTTCCCTTTTTATTAACATTGTTTTAATTTAGTATGTTAATAAAATAAAAAATTCTGTTTGTGATGAATACAGTGAACTCTCGCTACTACGATATCCAATACAACAATAACCCCCTCTATTATGATAATGTTTCGTGGTCCCGACGAACTTTCATATGAATGAATGTTATCCTCCTCTCCATATTACGATATTCTCTGAAATAATAAACCCCTTTAAAACAATTTTTTCCCCAAATTTCAACCTTAGTTTCTCCATTTATTATAGGTTTTCTAAAAAATGGCAAAAATGTTATCTTATCATCTTTTGCCATTTTTCCATTTTCTTTCTAACAAGAGAAGACTTACTGCTGACAACCCCAAAAGCTTCCATTCTTCGAATTGTCTCTTAAGAAGACACAGATGTAACATTTCTATCTGATTTCATTTCCTTTATGTTAAAAGCTGATCATGAGTCACAAATCACATTAACACCTGAAAGAGAACTTTTTCTGTCGAGGGTGGGTGGAGACAAACAAAAATCATTTTCAGACTTTGAACTCAATGTATATACTTTGTTGGTTGACTTCAGTCAGTAAAATGAGTAAACAAACAAAAATATCAGATTATTTTCAATAAACAATTCAATATTTTCAAGTGTGTTTGCGATCTTATTTTATTTCAAATGTTTTTGATATTTAACCATTATTAACACTCTTCCAAATTAATTTTTTATAAAATATATACATTTATAGTTAATACATATATAACATAAAAGTTAAAGAAAAATCTTTTCCTGTCCCCAAAGTATGTAGACGCTTGATATAACAATATATCCCTCTACAACAATATATTTATTTCGTCCCAAGAAAATTGTTGTAGCGAGGTTTTACTGTATTATTTGAAACTTCTATTCTTTTTTAGGTAATTGTTGTCAGTAATCTTGCCGTTCCGGACACAGATTGGATGATGGGTGAACGAGGCACAGAGAAGGGAAAAGTTCCAGTTGCTTACCTCGAAATATTGAATTAGTCCTTAAAAATATATCTCTTAGTCTTAATATTGAACTCTTAAAATAATAAATAGCCATAAATTGAGTGATAATTAAGATTCATGCATTGTTTAAGGATGCCTTCCAGTGCGAGTTTTCTATAATTTCTACAGATTTTAGTTTGCACAGAAAGTTTTTTGAAAAATCATAGGCAGAGTGAAAGAAATTTTTTTGGAGCGTTAGGTTTTCTTTTTTTCCTAAAAAAACTGTGTTAATACTATACATAGGCAATGTACCATGCATTTTATCCTAACTATATATTTTTCTCTCCGTCAAAACATTATTTAAGAATAAAAAATTTATTAAATGTTTCTTTAAATTTAATAAGTATTTTATGTTTTATGCCAAGAAGTAGATAAGCTATTAGATAAAAAGATAGGCTATAAGATAATATAAGCCTTGTGCTATGTTGAATGTAAGCAAAAATGACATGAATAAAGCATAAATAAGGGTTGAAGGAGCAGAAGAAGGTTCTTGTCTATGGAAACAAAATTATAGTAATGTCCATTACTGCACCTTTATTTGTGCTTTATTTATGCTCTTTTTACTTTATTCAGTTATTTTATGTATTTAAGAAAGAGCAGTTTATGTTCACAATAATCTCTCTCAAACTTTTTTTAAACTGAATTTTAAAAATAAAAATCACGATATAATATTTTGTTTTACTTCTAAACCATATAAACTGTTTTTATTTATTATTTTTTTTTAATAATAATAAATAAAAAAAGTGCTTTTTTGGAATTTAACCCACCGGCAGTTTAGAAAATTGGCGAAATTGGGAGAATATTTCTCCCTTATACACTATTCCTCTATCTATTAACATGGAAAAACCGGTTTTGCTATGCAGAGAAGACTGCTGTTTTAAATATGACTTTTTACATGCCGAACCGCCAGTGGGTTAAAAATAAGAAATGACACTGAATACTCTTTTGGATTCCGAGTAGGCCACATGTCCCTCCATGCTATACCTATGTAAGAAGTGGAACAAAACAATTTGCTCATTTTTTAATGCTTTCATAAATTTTCTTGCAATTTTTTTTAAAAATTTATGATCAACCCATCTAAAATTTTTAATATTTAGCAAAATTTTTTACAATGTGGAGATAAACCCTAATTTTTTATTTGGCTAAATGCAAATTTGTTTATTTGTTTGGTAATTATTATTTTTTTATAGTTGCTTATAACTATATAATATTTTGTATGAAACAATAGAGAATAGTTCTGTGCAACAATGGAAAACAAACGTTGCTGGTTGGCTTTCCTTGCAAGTCTCTAGTTGTTGATCTGCTTGAAGATCTATTGAAACTAGCTAACATTTAGTGTAATTTGTGGTGTAGAAATTTGTAAATTCTTTGAAGTAGCGTTGGCTTTTTTCAACTTCAAGTACTTTTCTGTTAATGGGACAGTAGCTAAATTGGCACCAATGCTAGATACAATCAAAAGTGCTATGGTGGTTGATTGTGATGTTATTAAAAAAATGTATGTACTGTAACTTTATTCTAGGTTATTCTATGCTTCGAAATTAATGCCCCATAAATAGATAAGTACTGAATTTTTGTTATTTTTTTTTCCTCACTCACATTTAAAACTTGATGATTAATTTTCACTCTTAATTAAAAAGCTATCTTTTAAAAATGTTTATAAAAAATATTAAATGTGCAATTAAAAAGTAAAATATTAATTTTTTTTCCTCACTCACATTTAAAACTTGATGATTAATTTTCACTCTGAATTAAATGCTATTTTTTAAAAATATTTATACAAACTATTAAATGGGCATTTAAAAAGTAAAATTTTCATTTTTTTTCCACTCACATTCAAAACTTGATAATTAATTTTTTCTCTTAATTAAAAAGCTATATTTTAAAGATATATATAAAAATTATTTAATTAGCAATTTCTAAGCGAAATATTCTTTTTACTTTTTTATGTATTTTTTGCTTCTTTAGTTTTCAAAGTGCTTTAATGGTTTGCTTTTTTTGCACAATAATCAAATGTAAGCTTATTTTTTTCAAAATCATCTTACTGGATGTTAATATAATTTATGTCATAAAGGAATTCTTATGTCTAAAATCAGGCAAAAAATACAAAAAAAAAAAAAAAACGAAAAGAAAAAACTGGAAGCAATTACGTAATATTTTTGAAATATTCCTGAAATGCAAAAGTTGGATTCTTTTAAATTTCAGTCGAAAAAAAAGTTCAAAAATATGCGGATCAACATGCGGAATTGTTTTTACCATTTCTATTTTATTTCTATAAATTTTTTTAAAGTCCCTATAATTTTTACAGGAAATCTTTAAAATGTATTTTTATTTGTGTCTTATGCACGCGGAATTCTTTTATTAAAATATTATATTTCCTGATGTATAAGTTAACTTTTCAAGTTAACAAAATGTAATGAACGTGAGGTGTCCTGCAAATGACACGTATCTGTCATAAACTTTTAAATCATAGACCTAATTCTAACAATAATTAAAGTGTGTGACTAATTTTAACAATATTTATTTTCTGTGTGTACATAGTTATTTTCAGTATACTTCATATAATTTATACCTAAAAAGAAAGAAGAGTATTATAATATTGGTAAGGCTGCTTTTCTGTCAATGTTAATGACCTCTAAGCACACCCATCACTTGTGCTGACAATCAAGCATTGAGTAACAATCAAGCAATAAAATCTTGCAAAGTGCACAATTGCAGGGAAATGAATTTTAAGAGCTCAGTAAGCAGATAAGCAAATAAAAAGCTGCAAGAACGAATTACAGCTTGTAACATAGCCTGGAAATCACCCAATGATTATATTGATCCTGTTTCTCATCTTATAGTACCTTGATATAATAATATTTTTGAAGTCCTGCAATTTTAAATTCTTTAAACCATGTTTTTTTAACTGAAAAAAGAAATCTGGATGAAGCAAATTAGTTAGCTTTCACAAATATTACTAGTTTAATGAGTTTCGATGTATTTGTGGGAAGCTTTTATAAACTACAGAAAAATTCAGTTTTCTAATTTAGTGTACTATTGAAATGTAATAACATATTTACTTCAAAAAAAATCAATTTGTGGTTTACCCCCATTTTTTAGTAACTTTTTTTGCTCTTTGGAGGCTAAATTTTTCTTGCTGAAAAAATGCAATTAATGAAAGCTTCAATTGGCATTTTAATATTAATACTTAAAGTACTACTGAAAATTATATAAGAAAAAGCGTCAGGAAGGAAGAATTTTTCAGGGGGGCTAGCTTTGACTGATGATTAAAATTTTATCCATGTTTCATGAAGTAAAATAAGAAAAATGTTCAACTTATACACCTGAAAATATTGTCAGAGGAAGAAAAACATAGTTATTTAATTAATTCTATTTTTTTAAAATGGAAAACATTTCCCTTTTTTTATTTCTCTGTGATAATAATCTGATCACATGCTTTTAAAAGAATTTGTAATTACTAAAATGAATTTTAAGTTTATTTAGTGACTGCTCAGTTTAATGTGTAAGGTACAACCACTTTCACATTATTTTGATTAAATAAAAAAAATGAATTTCAGTATCTTGGCAATTTGCAAGGTAATAAACGTAGTTACCAGTAACTTTTTTATGAATGAATTCCAGTTATATGTGAGAAATAAGTGAAAGAAAATCTCATTAAAGGATTTTGAAACAACTTATTTAATTTGTCTTAAAATTTTCTTTCCTTGTACATATAATTGTGTTTTTTGTGTTAACTTTTATTATTTTTGTGAAGTGACTGTTTTGTTTTAATTTAAATAAATTTGCTGTTTAGTCTTTTGTGAAATTAAATGCTTTTAAGTTTTAATTCCACGCTTTTTAAAAGCATTTATTCCAAAATCAGGCTCTCTATTTGAGCAAATGTCTCAAAATTTACTGTTACGAAATAAATATTTTTTATTATTTGATTCTGTCTCTTACACTTCAATAGGGATATAACATTTTTACATAATAATATAAAATTAAAGAAGTTGGTAAAATAAATGATCTGTATAAATATTTTATTTTATTTGATCATTATTCATTTTGTCACTATTAATTTCAAGTAAAAATAATTTTGCGTTTCAATTATAATATTCTTTTACAAAATAGATAATAATAATTTGAATTAAAATTTGTAATTAAATTATTTTTGAAAGAAAATACTAGTTTAAAATTAACACTGGGGAACATTTTTTTTGTTGTTTTCTACTGTATGAGGTTTTTCAACAGAACTTAGATACTCTCATATCACCGTTTTCAAATGTGCTATCAGTTTTTCTCTCCAGCTATAGTTTTTTTTAATGACTTTTTTTAAAACTATTTTTTGTCATGAGATTTTTTTAAACAGATCTTAGATACTCTCATATAGACATTTTCAAATGTGCTCTCAGTTCTCTCCAGCAATAGTTTATTTTTATTTATTTATTTATTTTTTTAAGTGCCTTTTTTAAAACTAATTTTTGTCAAACTATAACAGTTTAAATGCATTATATATAACAGAGGCTTGCATTAATGTTGTGACAAACTTTAAAAAAGTTCTTAAAAAAAGTTAGGACACATTTTCAATGATAGGAACCCATTTTTTAAATGTCATGTCACTTAGGGCGTTTTCCTATTATGAAATGTTTCTTTATGTGCTTCTGAAGAGATGATAATACGGATAATAGTATCACCACTACATTTCTGGTCATGAATCTTAATACAATTTTAATCCTGATTATGTGCCCTAACTTCCATAAAAGTTTGTCTCAACCTCACTTTTTTAAACTTTTGTCAAAAATGTCATTTAATAAAAAATCGCTACCTTTAGGAGGTAACTAATTTCAAAATTGAAATCCACTCACCCCGACAAGACTTGAATAAATGCAATGAAAAATTTGTCCCCCACAGTAATCAGTGCAGTTGAATTTCAATCCTTTCCATTGTATTTTAATTTTTAAACAGTGGCACCCTGAACTCTACTGGTCCACCTTGCAAACCATCTTATAGCAAGCTTTTTAAGTAATATCTGGGGTTTGTTAATGTAACCATATTGAGTCCCATTGCGGGCCCTCTAATTTGTCTATAATTATTTCCTTATGTATGGTAGTACAGTATCTTGCAATATAGTATTTGACCAGGCTTGAAAAATTATAGGTTAATATTAAGGGGAAATGTGGGGCATTATATATGTACTGTATAAGAGCGGCAAAGTTTTAATATTAACTTTTTTATTATATACGCACTTAGAAAAAAATATTACGTAAAGGAATATTTTATTAATGTTTCAATATTCTAAACTAAATAAAAAAATATATTTTATATAGTTTTTAATAATTGACCATGGCTGGTTTTCGCGCCTGCGGCCACAAGACTAGCAATCTGTTGCTCCACATTACCAAATCCTATCGGTCCACCTGGCTCATAGCCTTATAACTAGCATTTTAAGTAACTTTTGTGGTTTTTCAATGTAACCATATTGGGCCACATTGTGGGTATATAAACATTTAATACCCCATTACTATAATTATTTCCTTTGTTATGATAGTATAGTATCTTGCAATATAATATCTGACTGAGTTTGAAAGTCTGTTGAGTCTTCATATTGGTTCATCCCTTCCGCAAAGCAGAAAAGTTCGGAATCTAGCCAATAAATTGGCGTTAATCCTCGGCGTAATTGGCTTGTTGAAACTGTAATGTTATGGTAGTTATTGTGAAGAGAACTTGTGAAATTATTTGTTGTGAGAGACTTTATTTGTGTGTGTGCTTCTAGGGTTGGCTGGTTAAAACCGATGTGGTTCAAACCACGCTTAAAACCAAACGGTTTTTTATATATATAAGGAAAAAAAAACCAATGAAAATCTTGTTAATAAGTAAAATTTTTATTTATATAAACTTTTCCAATTTGAATATTAATGGAAAAAAAAAGAATTTTCTCACATTTCTCACAATTTTAAGTGTATTGCGAATTGGGATTTGTACTACTTTAAAGAAACATAAATCTGCAATTTTTATATGTTGACATACAGTTGAAGCGGTCAATGTTAAAAAGGGGTATGTAAAATTTTTATGAAAATAAGTTTTTTGTTGGTTTTGGAATATCAATCACCGATTATCAAATACCGAGTAATCTTTTATAATTCCTAAAGAAGAGAATCCAACAGTTTGGAATCGATTAAAGCAATCTTTTTGCAATTGACAAAGTTTTTTTCTTCTTCTCGAAAGTGCAGATTTGTAATAATACCCCCTTTTAACATTGCTTGCTACTATTGAGTTTCGACAAAAAAACCTATGTAAGACAAATTGTTGTGAGCTTTTCATAAAAATTTAATTGTAACATAAAAATTTAAGATAAAATCATGATGCTTCTTAAAAATACTTAAAATAAAATAGACTATAACTAATTTAATGTGTCCGTTTTATAAAATTAGCTTTCATGTAATTATTGAACGAGTAAAAGTTTTTCAATTTTTATTTTTTACTTGTTAAAGATGCATAATGCTAGCTACAGTCAAAAATATAAATGGGAATGAGGTGCTTTCTAAATTTTATTTTTTTAGTTTCATTTTAGACTTATTCTTGTGGAATTAATTTTAATTTCAGAATTATTTTTGTTGTAAACGAATTTGTTCTGCATACAGGCAGAGTGTTTATATTCATTATTATAATGTTTTGAAATTGTAATTTTTATGATTAAAAAAAAAAAAAAAAAAAAAAAAACGTTTAAGAAAAAAATTTAAATTTTTTGTTTAAAATATTTTTCTCTTGTTTATTTTATATTGCAGTACGTCAATAAGGATATTATTGAATGTTAAGTTCCATTAGTATCATCCATTAGCAACATTCCATGACAAAGTAATTTGTTCCTTGTTTTTTTTAACAATTAGAATTAAAACATACCTTAGTTATTTTATGTGTATGCAGCCATGTTTGCTTTTCATCGTTCTATTTATTTTAAATATATTTTAATTAAAATGTAATGTCTTTAATATCTCATGCTCCTTTATATTAAAATTTATTTTGATTCAATAAAAAAAAAACAAGAAATTTTCATCCAAACAAATAATTGATATAAATGCGACAAAATGCTTGCTGATAAATAATGACATTTATATAAATAGTGTTGAAATATAAAATTTTTATATATATTGTCTTTCAACATGGAAACTTATTTTTTACAAGCACTACTAAAATAAGATTTAGATATTAAATATTTATTTGCATGCTAAAGTAATAAATAAGTTGTAAAGTTATAAATAAGTTGTAAAGTTATAAATAAGTGTATTTAAAGTCTTTAATTGCATTTATTTTATCATATTCTAATCTTTATATGACTAAAGAGAATATTTTTGAATTCTTTATGCAAAATATTAATCAACAATAAAAAAAAATATCTGGGATATTTTTTTCAATGGTTCAGTTATTTTTAGTTTTGCGCTTAAAATACTATTTAACCTTTTGTTTTAAATATACCAACAAAAAGAGCCTGGTTTAAAAAAAAAAAAAAACCTAGATTTTGTATTTTTCGAAAAAATCTTTTTTTTAAAACATTGTTTGCCTTAAAAGTCAAATGTCAAGCCCCAAGGTTGAGCACAACATTGGAGCACGACGAATCTTCAACGACTCATTTAAAACAAGTTTGAAAATAGTATTTATTACTCAATTGAGGGAAATATGCATCAATTAAAATATTAGTACATAGTCATCAAACTTTAACGATAAAAATACATTTATTCAATTTTGTTTTAAGGTGATTACAGTAAAGTAGTCAAATATTCTACATTCAAACCACCATCAAACAGCAAAATCTATCTAAAGATTTCACATTACGTTTTAAGTTATTGTTTAAAAACATTTTGCCATGGTTTTCTCAAAAGTTAGTTGAAAGATTTTTCGACGCCAAAACTTTGCTCATCGGGAAGCAGAATTCATGCTTGTGATTTAAAATCTTAAGGCGCTTTAAATAATTTGTAAAAAAATTGCCATAAGCATCCTTTGATTTTCTTCTTCATCAGAACCAATAAAAGTTTTTTTATTTTAGATGTGAGGCTCTGTTCCATAAACTGGTGTCAGCAACCAACTCATTTATACCCTGATTTCTATTCTCACTAGACTCTCCATATTCTTATTCTTCAGAACCAGAAAAAAAATTCCATAAGGGATGCGACTCTGTTCCACAAACTTTAGGTAGCAACCTATTTTATGCCCTTATTTCTAGACACTTCATTTTTTTTCTCTAATAAATAAGAACGTTTTTCCAGTCAGAATATTCAACCTTGTCCCATAAACGTGTTTCAGAAACATGATTAACAATGTCATAGCTCTTCACACTAAACTCTGGATTTTCTTCTTCACAAAAATTTCAAATAGGATTTTCCTACATCAGGAAGTGGGCATTCGCTCCTATATTCTCATGACTTTATTCAAAAATATCTGAAAAATATGAAGAAAAAAAATTAACTGTAGAAAAGAATAATAAATAAATTTTTATAAAATAAGTAAACTGTCATTTTCATGCAATTTGTAGTATTATTTATATGAGGAAGTCTTTCATGTGAATTTCCAACATTGTTTTCCGCAATGACTGTTAAGACTTCAGTTCAGGTTCTTGCATACTTTTCTCATATTTAGTGACCACAACTTATATTTAAGGATATATAGAGCATGATTGTAGGAAGACCAATGCCCATTTTTCACAAATTCTTTCATCCCCAGGAAGCTTGACTTCGCTTTATGTGGAGGATTATAGAGCATTGAAATGGTCAATCGTCTTTATAGAAGTTTCAATTTCACTGTACTTTTTAAGATGTTGTACTGTTTGAACCTTTATATATATATTTTTGTAAAAATGGAGGAGAAGCGTTTTATTACGCTAAACCATTATGAAATTCAAATGATGAGCTCTCTGTGTACATCTTTGGCTTTACTAGGCGTCATGAGCAATCCTTGCGTATACGCAGTCAATCTAGCAGTTGTAAGGTCTGCAATGTTGGTAAATGAATCCATCTGCGGCTGTACTTGTGATTGAACGATGTTCACGAGGCGTTTTGAATCATCTGTTAGAAAAAGGTCAGTTATTCTTTGAGTACTCTTTGATTTGATTCACGGTATATTGTTCCTTTTTTGTTGTTGTTCAATTTGACACTTTATTTTTCTATTTAGCAAAAAGAACTTTCCATTGGAGATTATTTTGGTGAAATCTCTTTCTGATATCTTATTCGACTTAAGGTAAACGAGGCGTTTTGCTTCATCTGTTAGAAAATGTTCAGTTATTCATTGAGGATTCTTTAGTTCTTTGATTACGTATTGTAATTGTTTGGTTCTTTTTACATGTTTTTTTTTATTTAGCTGCAAGAACCTTCTTTCGGGAATTATTTTGGTGAATTCTCTATCTGATTTCTTAGATAAGATTAGTTTAAGTCAGTCAACTGCTCACATTCAGTTATGTGGTCTGTTTTCGTTTTAAAATCAAAACTATTTAAAATTAAATCGAATTATTTTATTTTTGCAAGCAATTAACTTTGTTCGTATCCAGTTCATAAATGAATCTCCTTGACTCATGTTACTATTAGTTGTAGTGTTGTCAGATAAATTATCCTGAATTTCTATTGCTTTCAAACTATTTGAAGTTTGTGTACTTTTAGCTCTCGTCGTTTTTTTCAAGACAGGCGTTTTCTTTTTCTCAACTTTCGAGTCAATTTCTACATACACTTCTAATTCCCGAACCTCGTGTTCCAATGCCGCATTTTTTTCGTTTTAACATCTCAATTTTCTCATTTAAGTTCTCGCTCGAATTTTTCTACCCATACCTTAGTACGCTTGCAATTCTTACATTTTATTAGTTCGTGTTTTCCAGTTGCTTCTTCCAAAACTAAGATGTTGGCTTTTTTCGGAAGCAGTACCTTCAAACTTACACCAGCAAGGCGTTTTATACCTCGATTCCTATTCACATTACTCTCATGACTTTCTTCACCGTCATGTCTACAAAAAATGCCCCATTTTTGATAAGGCCCCTCTCCGATCTGACTACCATCCTCAAGGAAGCAATGGTCAGCTGCTTTTCCAGAATTCCATCTCAGTCTTCGATCGGACATCAAAAAGCTATGAATAAAATTCAAAGCAAGTTCAATTTGCCTGTCTGAGATGCCCCACACAGAGCGCACGCAACGCTTAAAATTATTTTCCTACAAAGAAAAAAAAACATTATTATTTTCAATTATGAATGATGTTTTAAAACCTTAAAATTAAAATTCTTTAATTAAACTTTATTACACAACTCCTGACGTTCCTCAGAGTATAACACGAGGCTTACAGATGTAAGTGGGCAAAGTAAAATTTCAAATTAAAGGAAACAGAACAAAATTAAAAGTTTAGGTTGTAAACAAAATTACGTATAATATTTAGGTTTTCAGTGCATTTAACAAGCAAGGACGAAACAGAGCGCCAACAGATACCTGAGTTCTAGGTTCCTTTTCTAAGCTTTCTCTTTGCTGTGACTATAAGTTACAATTATTGTGTTCTACAGTTACAACATCCTTGATCATAAGAACAAAAATTACAATTCACAAAATTAAACCTCAATAAGTAGCTGTAAAATTACCTCTGAACTGTTTAAATTTCCTTTGAACATCTCAACTAGTATTTCAGGCTCTTTCATTAGACAATGTTAAGTGTTAAAAGAAAATTTAAAAATTGTCTGAATTTTTGTAAAATTATTTGTAGCTTTTTAACTTTATGTGTACTCGTCAACATATAATTTTTGATGGCAATGAGTTGAGTTTAAAAGCTACAAATAATTAAGAAATTGCCATAAAAAGTGGTGCACCTAGAAAGATTCGTCAGAATAAAACAAAATTTTACATATGTTACTACAACATTGATATGAGTGATTAAAAAAATCAAAAAAGTGCAATTTTTAAATAGAGAAATATACAAAAGAATGGAATGTAGGATGTGATGTAGTCGGGCATTGAGACATGCAAGTTCCTTATAATATCCCGCTGCATCTCGTTCCACAGTTACTGTCAAAACACCGCTCAATAGACTAAACTCGGAGGATGTCCAACTGGTCCCAGATATGCTCGTTCAACAACAAATCTGGGGATCCTTCACTCAATTGGGAGGCGAATGCTCTATCCCCTGAGCTACCACGACTCAGCAGTGTCTTATTAAAAAATAGCTCTTAGGAGCCTTGCTATAAGTGGCAACACATATGGCTGAAGGATGTCATGAACTTACCATTGAGCCGTAGATCAATATTAGGATGGATATTGTGTCGTATGCAATGGCACCCCATTAAAAAAATCTTGTTTCCGCAAATATTTAAGGTTAGTATTTCGAACAATATTAGGATTGCGTGGAAACTAAATTATTAAATCAGAAATCATTTCTTCCGTTTTTTTTACGCACAGAGCATTCGTTTGAAACAATATCATAAGCTATCTCTCTAATTCATCTATTTCTCAAAAACACACTTCACTCTATTTAAGTTGTTAAATGGAGTGTATATTGGATAAAATGTATTTACAGGAATACTAAATAAGTGCATGAAATAAGGTAATCATAAAATTCGATAAAAATACCTTGAAAATATTGATCTATTAACAAATACATTAATCATAAAACTTAGTTTAACAGTTAGTTTTTAAAAAAGACTTAAAATGTTTATTTTTTTGCATAACATAATTTTTAATCCTTAAATATGAAATTTTTAAAATTATATTTTGATCGAAATATAATATGCTCTGAATCAGTTTAGGTTGCTAATTTAGGTTGAATTAAATTTAAATAAAAATTTATATGTATCTATCTACCTGAAGAAGGCTGAAAAGATTAGGATCCTTTTGCCAACTTCCGACGTAGGATGATGTTCTGCCAAAGGCTTGGTTGGTAAGAAGCTCCAGAACCATCATTCCCACAAATCAAAAGATTTGCCCTCAACTACTCATTCACTCTCGAAGTCTTCTGGAGGCCTATATATGTATATGGCAATCCAAGTTCTGACCTGCAAAACAAAATTATTCTTTAAGCACCCTCAAACCGAGTCAAAAGTCAATAATGAAATTATTGTAAATAATGAATGAATGTAAGGTAAATAATGAAATGAATAGGAATTCAAAATATTACTTTGACGAGTAAAATGAATATATTAATGAACAAGAGTAATTAAAAAGTAAAGTTTGAGGTGTGCATTTTGTATTTTAATATTCATTTTAGTCATATTTTTCTGTTTTAAAAATTATATAAAAGAAAACATTCCGTTTTAAAGTCCATTTCAATACTTTGCATCGCAGTGATTTAAAAATATACGAGTCCCACTGTAAGGTAACATGCACTATGATGGTAAGGCACGGTTTTCAGTAGAGTTTAGAAGTCAAGCCTCTCTGGCTGCTTTCGGTGAGCGGGTGGGTAACCTCATTGATCAGCCTGCGAAGTGACCTAGTGTGTATGGTATCGGTTCCCTGTTAAACTATTTTGCGGTAAAGTAACTTCGCTCTCATGTTGTCCGGGTTAAAGGTGGGGAAGCCATTCCTTCTGCAGATAAAAATTTTGCTTTTTTAATGATAAAAAACATGTATGCTGAAGTATATTGTCAAAGAAAATTTTAATAAAAATAATATTATAAATGTATTTTATAATATTTTTGTATTTTATAAATGTTTACATAGTGAAAAAAAAACTGGATTGTTATCGAATTAGCGATTCATAAAATATCGTTTTCATTCAATAAGATAATGCATTAAGGTTGCAGTTGTAATTCATTTACGTCTCTCTGGAGGTACACAGTGGACTATTGGCTACGGTTTTGGAAACATCTCTGTGGATGATCCGGAGACATGCCATCACAATTTTGGTCCTCTGTAGAGGGGATGGCACTCCCGCTTCGATGACCCGGTGATCTGCGAGCGAAGTAGAACAGACTGTGCACTAGTTTGTTCTCTGTGTAATTATGCCAAAAAGATTATAAGCTAGTAATAATCTTAATTATACTTTAAAACTATTCGAATATAAAAAAGTAACTAAATAGGATAGTGAATTTAATTTTAAAATAAAAATACTCTAAGCAATGTATTGCAACAAACTCTAAACAATATTTAATGTTGAGGCAAGGAAAGTGAAATCACTGATAACAGCTCTGCCATCATACGAAGTCAACGCATTATCTGCTTTCAGATCCAAGTGACCGGTCTCGTTAGAGTGCAAATATGCCAGTCCATAAAGAGTGCCAAGAAGTATGATTTTAGGCAGCCTAGGGCACCTGATTGACTCATAAAGTGCCTGTCTAGGACTGTATGTAGCAAAGTGTTCTGCTGTATGAGCGTCACAAAAATTGCTACATTCGGGCTATGGAAGTTAAGGAGGAGGGGGATAATGTTTGGATGAGACAATTTTGGCCAAATTTCAATTTCGCTTTTTTTAGCGACTTCTAGGGGAACAATTTACACGGCAACTTCTCGGCCAAATAAGTCAACCATTTTGTACACATCGCCAAAGGAGCCAGACCCAAGCTTGTGCACGCATACAAAATTATTGGCTTCCAAAATCTTCATGGCATCTCGTGTGCGGTGGCGATGTTGACCTGAAAAATCAGGAGGTTCATACAAATACCGGCCACACTGCATGTTATCAGCGAAATTTCCGAACTTTCTCGAGGTTTCTCGACTTTTCAACTTTTTATCAATACGCAGGATTCAATTCCCAAAATCAATTTGCTGTAAAGCAAGAACTCTAAAAAACACATTCAATCTTGAAGGCACAAGTTAGAATGATCAAAAATGATTTTACACAAGCCTAGATTGCTTTTTAACAATGAAAATGCCTTACTGTTCATACACTTACAATAGATATTTAATTGTTAGTAACTATCAAATTTTTTTTCAACAATGTGATGCCTTGATTATTTTTTCTTTGAGCTAAGAAATCAGAACTAATTGTTAAGAAGTGAAGTGTATAAATTTGTAATTAATGTCATTTAAAGTATCATAAAAAATAGCATTTAAAAGCGAGATAAGAGTCTTGCAATACTTATTATATAATCCTTCTGTGCCATTCAGCATTCATTTTTTTAGAAAAGCTTGTTAAAAAAGTAATAAATAATATATAAGGAACCACATCAAATAAATTAAAATCTTAAATAAAAGCGTTATTTTGTTCATTCTATTTGTTTCCTAAAAGTTTATTTTTTGGTAAAATAGAGCAAGTTAAATGAAAAATAATAAAAATAAAAGCCTATTTTGCTACATAAAGGAAATAGAAGAAAAGTTGATATAATTCAAGCATAAAAAAACATGTATAAATATAGTTCATTCTTATTAAAACTTTCCTTTTTAAGATCTTGACATCTTGAGCAATAGAATTTCAAGTTATAGACTAATTTTGGATTATATTAAGACAAGAAATGCACAAATATGCATTTTAGAAAATATAAACTTGTCTTTTAAGCGGTTAATGACCTGGAATAGCTTCCTAACTCCTCATTTTAGCACCATTCCCTTATTTTATTCATTCCAGAATGAATGGAAAATTTATTGCAAATCAAAAATATCATTTAAGCTTAATAGATTTCTCTTTAATCAATCTTAGAAAATGTATTTGCACAAGAAAACTGAGAAGTTTCGAAAATTGAAATCTCATATTTTAGTTTGAAACCAATTTTAAATGCAAAAAAACCATGAAAAATAGCAATATATATAAACTTTGTAATCATAAAAAATATTTTATTTTTTTAGATAAGAATCTGGAGCTCATAAATTTTGTATGTCTCAGGTATATGCAATAAAAACACACATATTTCAAGAAAGTCTAATTAAGGCTTGAACTCTCTTCATCGGACTTTAACAAACAAACGTATTCTGCTGTACAGTTCCTTTAAATGCAACCAATGTTGTCAATGATGCCTTCTATACAATACCAAATGCAACCAACTAAAAGAAATATGTACATATCTTCTTCGATCTTCGGTATCATAATATATAACGGTATCATAATATATCTTCGGTATTCGATCTTCCTTAAAATATATCCATCGCTTTTCTGCAGGCTTTTGATAACAGCACCACTTTACTGAAACTAGTATAAGCAATAGCTTGGTTCAGTAGCTGTAATAATATTGGACCAATAGCAGTAGTTCAAGTAGTAATGATAGTACTACTGAACTACTATAGGTTCAATAGTAGTAGTTCAGTAGTAGTAATATTACTGAATGAATTTCTGGGGTTAGCTACACCAGTAGTAAACCTTAAAAAAAGAAAAGAAAAAAAAAAAACATCATTATACTGGGCAAATGTACACCGAACTGTGACACTTTAACCCCATGCAATATTATTTGTATACCGAGCAATGACACTAAACCGTAAAAAAATATCAGTGTAGGCACAGCGGCACTTAATTTTTTTTTAAAAAATCAATGTATAAGGTAGGGTATACCAGCCCGTGGCGTTACTGTATATTAAAATTTAAAAATAATTTAATACAATAATTCAACTAGAATTTAATTTAAAACATTGCATAAAGTCTTTCTAATTTCTCATAGGAAGAAAAATGTGATTACTCAAAAATCGCTTCCGTCAAGCTCATGATTTACGAAACTCTAAGTCACTTGAACTGAATCCATCCTGTGATTGATCGAAATTTACTTCCAAATTGCATTTTATTGAATTGTCTGATCGGTAAAATTGACACTTTAAGAATAAAAAAAAAGAAACTTTGTTAAAATCAAATTGTTCCCTTATTTGCTATTATTAATTATGCGAGACAATGAGCTCTATTTGTAAGTGTTTTTTATTCAAAGCAAAATGAACTTTAATAGGATACTTGCAAGGGACGTAGTGAGGGTATCTCGATCCTGATGGGTTGTTGAAACGTGGCATTTGTTTACGTTAGCCACTATTCTTTCCATTCTATTTCAAGAAAGCCCGTTAGATACCAATTCTCTTAAGAGACACATTCTAAATTCTTTCACAAAGATTTTTTTTTCTAAGATTTTAATTCTTTCACTATATATTTACATAGGGAAGACAGGCATGAAGGCATGTGGAACATAAACAACAAACTAATTGTGCATCGAAGTTACCAGGTACACAAAACAAAAATATATCACGGTTACAATAAAATACATACACAAATAATAAATTTAAGTAAAAGAAGTAGGCGAGAAAGAATTAGATTTCAACTAATTCGATTTGCTATACGGCTCTGTATTTAATTCAACTTATGTAGAGAAACTTAGCTTAACTTTAATACACCATTTTTCTGATAAAGATTAGTTGGCGCTGAAGCCATAGGTCACGTGTGTCGGTATCCAATTGTTATAAATTTCGTTAGGTCAAAAGAATACGCAGATCTAAAACAGTAAGCAATACATTTTAAAGCTAAAAATTTCGAAAAAAATTATTTTACTTAATGGTGCTGTTTAAGAACTGAAAGTCAGCATAACCAAATAAATGAGTATGCCCGTTTAAAAGGTAAAATCAGTGTTTACTTTTATGTGACACGTTTAAATGGTAATTAAAATGAAATTTTGATTGCCAATTATTTTTATTTAGCACCAGCTGAATACCCGTTCTTCTCACGGGGTGAATAAAAAAAACTAAAGAATCAATAAATCAGTACTGAGATACTCTGCAAATTCATGGTTGAAACTGAAGGGCAGATACCGACACAACTAAAGAGCTTGATGGAAAAACCAAGCAAGTGACATTTTTAGGGGAATTAGTGAATCAGAGAAAATAACATAAAGTGGTTGCGTCAATATGGGTATGTAATGTAACAGAATTGCCTTCACTTTAATCTTAACAGAACTAATCCACATTTGTTTTTAGCATGCTTGCATAATTTTTGTTTCAAATTGGTCAGTAGCAAATAAAATTAAGCAAAGAATTACAAGTCCCGCCTACTTATAAATTGTGAATAAAATAGTTTCGATACAACTTTTTTTTCGGTTCGAAAATGTAGCTTACCTGGTTCTTCCCCTAAGTTTTTCAATTAACGCAGCAAAAATAATTTAAATTTTCTTATTTAATGTTATTTGTTGCCCTTTTCGGTGGCTTTACGTTATTGAAATAAGAAAAACTCATTTTTTGCAGTTCATCTCAATAAAATAAAGATAATATGTATTTAGCATAACTTGGCATGATTCCATTGCTCGTGGCCAATTCATAATTGTCAAACTTTACCCCTATCAAGTAATTTTCTCTGGTACATATCCCTTTAGTGCATATTTCTAAAGTATCGGTATAAACACTGATTGATATATTCGTGCAGTTTTAATAATCACCAAATATATCTTTTTTTTTTTTAAATATTTTATTTTGTAACCGTCGTTGAACAGCCGACCCAATTTTTGGATTTACAACTATATAGTTCGTTCACCAGGAGTTGGTACTTAGCTCCACCAGTTCGGACGAAGAGCTCATTTCAGCGCAGGAGTAAGAGGAGAAATATCTGAAAATGAGAGAAACTCTTAATGCACCCCAACCGCAAGCAGTGAATTCTTTTTCAGTTATTTCGCTTTATCATCCGCTATTATACTCTTCATTACTCTAACTAATTAAATATATTTTAAATTTAAAAACTGCTATTTTCCCAGCAAAATGTCTCAAAAAGAATAAACATTCACTCGAAAGAGAGAAATATCATCAAATTCATAAAATATTTAATATTAGCGAAATGCACATAAAGATTGCGAAATAAATATTTTTGTCATACGATCTCCCAATCGCAACCTTGTTCAGAATTGTTCACATCCTTTTTCCAAAAATAGCGAAATAGTATCGACGTAAAACCACGTGATGAAGGCGGAGACAAGTGCCAACTCCTGTTGAACAAACTATACCAATGCTCAACTTCGCAGCCTTGTAATTTTGAACCCAACAAATGACAACGCAGCGTTGAGACAATAAAAAAAAAACACGTTTTTCAATATTGCAGGCGAACAATTAAACTTAAAAAATTATTAGTTATCTGTAACAAAAAACACCATGCTAATCGCCATTCATAAGATATCAAGGAAAGATTAGTCTATAACAATGGTTATTAGCAATGAAATATCGTATTTTCAATCTTCCGTCCGAGTTAAATGACACCGAAAAGCGATGATTGTTTACAAACAATCTCTTAAAAATGTGTGGACTTTAAATGAGCAAGTGATACAAAAAACGTTTTTTCAAAGTCAATTCCTAAGTTGGTCAACAATTTTATTTTTAATATTAGTTACTTTTCATTAAATAATTAAAATTTTTTTCTCCTACATAAAACTAAAATTAACTAATTAAATTCAATTAATGAATTAATATTTGCAAAAAACATTGTATGAACATCAAGTGTCATCCACTGCAAGTTCAAAAAATTGCATTTGAACTTGAGTGGATGAATGAAAAGTATTTTATTAAACGATAGAAAATTTGAACAAGATATAGGGAGAGTGTAAAATAATAGTAGGAATTGAAAATAAAAGGCGTGTGATATCAGATAACTATAAAAGTGTAAATTTGGTGACATGGACCATACGTTCTACTACGTAATATTTTTTATTTAATTTATCTGACACAGCGAATAAAAAATAATTAAATATTTAAATGTGTGCAATAAATTGTTTTTTTGTTGTTCAAATAGAGCTAAAAGTTAGAAATCATCACTGATGTTATTTTTGAAATATGAGAATAACTGAATCGATTAGAGTAAAATTTAAAACAATGACATCCATCTGAAAATTCCATTTCGTTTTTCGCTCAGCCCTTTCAAAACTAACATTTAAAAAAACTACATTAACAACAAGTGTCATCCACTACAAGTTCAAGAAAAAAACTGTACTTGAATTTGAGTGGAAGAATAAAAAATATCTTATTAACGATTGAAAATTTGAACAAGGAGATACAGGGAGAGATTGAACTATGATAACAGTAGGAATTAAAAAAAAGCACTATCCAAATCGGAGTTCCCGTACTAGAGCCGTTAGAGAATATGCAAAGAAGATAATCATTGATTAAAAATACAAAGAAGATAATCATTGATTAAAAAAATATATTCATAATTGTATAAAACTTGGTATTTAATCGCCTTTCTTTCAAATGCAAAAGAGTGCTTGCAAACTTTGATCCTTTTTTTTCTCCTTCTTTATCACTCTCTTCTCTTTAATCTGCTTATCTGTCTGAATTCACTGTTATTGACATCATTTCAAAAATTTATTATGATTTCTACTTATATCTAGCTTTCTTTTTCTTACGCACGGTAAGTGAATTTTTCTTAGTTACATGTTATTTAATTTTTTTTTTACAAGTTTAAGTTAAACAACAGCAAATCGTCGTATATTAGAACATTATTTACTTAAATATTGAATAAAATTAAAGGCAATGCACAGCTAAAAGATCGCAATCTTTCCCTCAGATGGACAATGTTGTCTGCTTGGATGAATATTTTATAACAGTCGTTGAAAAGCCGAAGAAGACTAATGTTCAACTCAGTAGCCTTGTTATTTTGAACCCAATCCAGAAGACAAGGGGTATTGGTAACAAGTATTGGGAGAAATTTGCCTTCGTAGAGGACTTTTTGAGAGAACTAACCCGCATTTGCGTTATATGCAGAGGAAAACCACGAAAACCTGCCACGGTAAGCCCGAGGGCAAGTGGACTCTAACACATGATTAGTCTACCAGTGAGGATATTTAACGATGGTCGATGCGTGCCAGGTGCGGAATTTGAATCGACCAGCCATCGATGGGTTTGAATCCGGTTCACTTCATTGGAATGCGAACGCTCTATCCCCTGAGTCCCCACGGCTCCTTGGAGAAACCTTGTAAGAAAATGGCACAAAAGTAAAATATTAATATTTAGCTATATATTAAATATATTATTAGTAAGTGCCACCGCTGTTTAGGGTTTGAATGTTTTTGCTGCATGAAGCACAAAATTACGGAATTGTGTAGAAAATGTACGATGAAATTAAAAAAAACGTTCGATAAGTTGTTCTAGAATTAATGACTGTTAAACTTGAAGTAGAAAATACTATGCGTGCCTCACTATAAACCATATAAATGCAACTACAGATGTGAAATTTGATGTGCAGAAATAAACATATTTTAAGAACTTGACGCGAATTTTTTTTCCCTTCGAAATTCTAATTTTTCCGCAAGTTTATGCAATTTTAAATGCTTTATTTCGCAATTTTTTTTTCATTTACGTTGCATTTTGTCTTGCTGAGCCAAACCTATAAGACTTAACTATTTGAAATTAAGATGCATAGGATCACTACAGAAGTTAATCTTGTAGTACCATGCGAGCTGAAATGCGACGTGCTGAAAAGTTATTTCTAATTAATGTTATTTTATTTAACGCGTGTTTTGTTTCGTTCAAAAGTTATTGGAATTTGTGATCCATCATTCAGGTAGAGAATTCTTCAGATTTTCAATTACATGCTTCAGTTTATGTCAGTTAATGCCTCATATAAATATTTTCTCTTTACACGATTTGTATTCATTCATTCATCTTTTTTCTTTCAAACGTTATGATAGACAAAATAATCTTACAATTTTTTTATTCCGTTAAAGCTTTTTTTTCACTTCTTTTTTTTTAAATTTTGGGACTCTGTTATTTATATTGAATAATTTCTTAGCCGCACTCTCCTATTTCCAAATAATATTCATACAGCTAAAAAGAAATGAAAAGTTCGCTGTTATCATGATGTCCCATTTGAGTCATTGTTGGAATCCACAGATAAGTATTTAAACTGCTGTTTGTAGAAAATGCAACACCATGAAGGAATCATCAGAATCAAATGAAATATTATTTTAATAATGGATATAGGATATTATGCAAATTAATAAAGTTTCAGAGCCATCGCGCGTGCGTGGCGCGCGCAGCGCCCTCTGAATTGATGCTGAAAGCGTATAAATAAAGTGCTGTAGCGGGACGTTGAAAATAGTCTATGATTATTTGTTAGTGGCAAACGTTTAGTGAGACCTGAGTATGCCTCCACGACGGAAGAATAAGAAATTCAAGCAACTTACGGAGTTTGAACGAGGGAGGATAATCGGCCTTCGAGAAGGAGGATTTTCCTATCGCGCAATAGCAGCTCGTATGCAGCGGAACAGTTCCACAGTGATGCGAGTTTGGAAGCAGTGGACCGACGAGCACCGAACAACTCGAAAAACAGGCACTGGACGACAGAAGGTGACGTCAGAGCGCGATGATCGACACCTGCTCCGCATGGCGGTGAATGATCGCACAGCTTCCTCCAGGCAGCTGGCAGCACATTGGTCTACTGCTACAGGTGTACAATTGTCGGCTTCGTCAATTCGTCGTCGTCTGCTGCGCCGTGGATTGCGTGCAAGGGTGCCATTATACAGGATTCCCCTCACGGCGGATCATCGACGGCTGCGTCGGCAGTGGGCTCTTGAGCACAGAGACTGGCGAGCTGATTGGCACCAAGTTGTCTTTTCAGATGAATCACGCTTCAATTTGTGGACCCATGATGGCCGTGTTCGTGTTAGACGTTATGCCGGTCAACGCTGCCTTCCTGAGTGTATTATTGAACGACATAGTGGTCGAACACCCGGAGTTATGGTCTGGGGTGCGATTTCGTATCATGGACGATCCAATTTGATACGAATTGAGGGTAATCTCAATAGCAACAGATACGTCCGTGAAGTGCTACAGCCCGAAGTCGTTCCTTTCCTTCAAGGCATCCCTGGAGCTATCTTTCAGCAGGATAATGCACGCCCACATGTTGCGCGGACTGTTAGAGACTTCTGTTCAGCACAACGCATGCAACTTCTTCCTTGGCCTGCTTATTCGCCGGATATGTCGCCTATTGAGCACGTGTGGGATATGGTTGGTCGGCGTCTCACTCGTGATCCGCGTCCTGCAGTTTCCAAAGACGAACTTTGGTTGCGCATACAAGCGATATGGAATTCTCTTCCTCAAGCAGATATTCAACATCTGTTTGACTCCATGCCACGTCGTATAGCAGCACTTATTGCAGCGCGTGGTGGCTGCACCAAATACTGATTTCGGACGCTTAATTTGTTTCTTTTGTTTTGAAAATTTCATCATTTATTTGTATCAGTACAAGTCGTTTCTGCATTAAATTTCATTTGATTCTGATGATTCTTTCATGGTGTTGCATTTTCTACAAACAGCAGTTTACTTTAATTACTTCACACTAGTACAATGGGTTGTTGGGGACGGTCTGGGAAGCATCCCTGAGGATGATGCGAAGACCCAATTCTGATCCTCTGCAGTAACCCGACGACCTGCGCGCGAAGTGAATCACTTTACGGTGGAACAGTTTAACGACGACCGATCCCGCCCATCCTCGGTCCCTACACAGGCTTATCAAAGCGGTCTCCCACCCAATTGCTGACCGTAACCAGTGATGGTTGACTTCGGTGTTCTACTGGAAACCATGTCTTTACTATCAGTTCACTGCGGGACCCACTGATAAGAATTTTTTTTTTTAAAGATGTTTTGCCGTAATTTTTTAATTTTACTCTATTTAAATAATTTCTATTTTCTGTGAAGAGTCGTGGTGGATCGGGGGATAGAGCCCTCATCTCCCAATGAGGTATTTGGGTTCAAACCCCAGTGATGAGAGGTCGATACGAATTCCACATCGACCATAGTGCTGACGTAAAATATCCTCACAGATCATGAGTTAGAGTCCCCTTTGCTGACAGGCTAATCGCGGATGCTTTCGTGGTTTTTCCTCTCCATGTAACGCAAATACGGCTTAGTTCCACTAAAAAGTCCTCCTCGAACGCAAATTTCTTCCTATTCGTAACCCAGGAGTCTTCGGAATTGCATTGAAAATTATAAGGTTTTTGAAAATTGGTAGTCGTAAACTCGATCTGCTGTTCAAGGATGGTTATAATTATAGTATTTTCCGTGAAATCTTGTGACTTATCATCAAGAATTGGACATCATAATCGTTATAAATTTAAGGAATTCAGAGATGTTTTAAATGAATTGAAAACTGCAAAATATAGTTTAAAACTTCAGAAATTACATTATTTGCGCTTTGTGATGATACTCTTTAATTAGAGGTACTAAGGCCCTTTAAAAACCTATTTAATTTAGAAAATTATTAATTAGTCACAATATACGCTTCAATTAGGTTTCTGTTTGTGCTTTCGTTCCACAGTAATAAACTATCTTCTTTTAATGATTTAAAAAAGAATAACATGCAGAATATGTTAACAAAATTTAAAAAAGTGTGTTTTCAAAAAGAACAATAACCAAACAAGCCCAGTAACGAAAAATATTATATAACAATAAGTAAAAACAAATTTCTGTTCTAACCACAATCATTTACATAATTCTATTTCCTTGTGTCAAAAAAGTCTTTATTTATTTTTGGAATATCAAGTGAATGATCAATCTTAAGTATGATCATTAATATAAAGCACAATGGCTTAGGGGATAGAGCGTTCGCTTCCCAATGAGGTGAACCGGGTTCGAATCCCAGCAATGATTGGTCGATACGAACTCCACATCTGGCCTGCAACGACCACAGAGCTGATTTAAAATTTCCTTAGTGGTAGACGGATGTGTTAGAGTCCCCTTGCCGTGAGGCTAACCGTGGGAGGTTCTCGTGGTCTTCCTGGCCGTGTAACGCAAATGCTGGTTAGTTCCATCAAAAAAGTCCTCCAGGAAGGGAAATTTCTCACAATACTTGATCCAAGATTTACCTTGTCTTCTGGATTAGGTTCAAAGTTGCAAGGCTACGGAGTTGAACATTTGTATTCGTAAACCCTTAATTGGGTCGACTGTACAACGACGGTTACAAAATAAAATAAAAATACAAATTTCTGAATGAAATTTATGGTCAACAAAATACTGAAACAAACTAAATCACAAATTAGGAAGAAATGTGAGGATAAAATTGAACAGTCTATGTTATTAAAATATTCTATATTTTTGTTTTAATTACACTTATTGATTTACACAGATTCAATGATAATTTAGAGCTATAACTTAGTTTTAATAATGAGTCATTATTAACGGCGAAGGGAGATGCGTTTTTATCATCAATGATCATCCTAAGTTTTTTTTCATCCTATGTCGTGAACAACGCTGTTTTTTTTTATTCATTTTCTTATCTTTGGTTTTTATTCCTTTTGAGAGTTAGATTTAAGCTGTTTTGAGTCTATGTAAGAATAAAGAATACATCGGGCAACAAAACACTGAAAATTATAATTTTGTATATGTTACAGTGAATAACCGAAATCAAGAGAATGTCGACCCGAGAATGTCAACAATCTCATAGTCACTTTGATGAATTTCCGAAATATTTATTAAATACGATTTGATATTAATTTGTTCGTTGACATTATTCGATATTTTAATATCTGTTGAGGATAGATTAGGAGAAACATCAGTGTTTGGAGTACCGATTAAATGCATACTGGGCAGTGGCCTTAAGAAACATTGATGTAGGGCATAATGGGCAAATGAATAACGGGCAGTGGCACTGAATCTTAAAAAAACATTGATTTAGGGCATACCGGATAGATATATACCTTGCAGTGGCATTAAACTAAGACCTAGCATATATTTCGGACATTTACCAAAACGACTATGTGATTGTCAATAACCACCAATTTTTGTCATTCACAATAATATATACACAAAATCGTGATGTATATAAATTGAATTACATGTTTATAAATGGAAGGTTTTCCAGAATGTTTTATGTTGAATCTCTGTAGAACATCATTGTTAAAGGGTATCACCATACACACAAAGCAAGACTAAAATACAGAAGTATATGAAAGATAGAGCGAAGTTCAGTAATCCAAAAGCTGTTCTGAGGTTTGGCGAGCAAGAGAACCCTCTATATTTATAAAACTTAAAATAGAACATTATTTTATTATTTAGAAACAAAATATTGGAGGCTACCATTAAATTGCACACCACTGATGATGGCGTGGTTCGATGAAATTCCATTGGAACAAAAGATGTCTGTTGATGAGGTAGGTAGAAACATTCCTTTATAGTTAAGAATATGCTTTAAAAATATTAAAGAAAAATTGAGAATTTGAAAAATAACTGACAACTTAACCGAGATTTGGTAAAAACATTGGTTGATGTAATACATAGTATTAAAGTAAAACTACAAAAAATACAAAATACTAAAGAAAAATTGAGATTTTGAAAATTAACTGACAGCTTTTACTGAAATTCGGTACGAACATCTCCAGCAGCAAAATAAGTTGGGCCCTCATTGGACGAATATTCACGAATCTTGGCTTAGAAAGGGTTCAAAGGGCCGATATATTTCCGATATGGGGGCCATGCATAGAATTCTTCGATTCACCAGATATTTTACTGCTACTTTACAACCAATATGGGCCCTATATAGAATTGTCATATTTTCCCGATATTTTATCATCATTCAGTCAATATAAGCCCTATATTGAGCCTATATAGGCCGATATTGGCATTGCACAGGACCAATATTTAAAAATCTAAACATCCCAATAGTGGCTCTTCGGAGCATGTTCATTTAGGACCCATATTGAGCCAATTTTGAGACCAACTGGAGCCAAGGTATGATTGTTGTTAGGAATAGGTTGATGTAATACATATGTTATAATGATCAATCAACAATCATGAGACCTACGTTATATCGCGTATAACTTTCATCGGAGTGAGAAGTTACAAAAAATAGAGGTTAATTGAGAGTATGTCCACTTTTACTAATGCAAAAAGCTCAAAAAGAAGAAAAAAAGAGTAATTTTAAATAACTTTCGGTCTTCACGTACTAAGACACAGTTTTAATGTTTTGAAAGGGTTAACTCAAATATTAGTACAAACAAGAATTTAAGATAAGAATTCAGACGCAAGAATGCATTTTTTCTGAATAAATATATTTTCTTTTCGACGGATATAGGTAGGTAGTTACTTTATTCACGTCGCACAAGAGCTTCACAATGGGCTATTGGCGACAATCTGGGAAGCATCTCTGAAGAGGATCTGAAGACAAGCCATCGCAATTTTGATCCTCTGCAGAGGGGATCGCTCCCCTGCTTTGGTAGCCCGATGACTTGCGCGCGAAGTCGAGCACTTTACGGTGGAACAGTTTAACGAGGACTAACACCGCACACCCTACGCAGGCTGATCAAAGTGGATAGGGCATATTTAGATGTTAAGTAAATGTTTAGCAACTCATGATGCCATCTTATGAAAAGCGCTCACCTGTTATATACTGGCTGTTTGTAACCATTTCATCCGGTACTTTTTTTTAAATCTAAATTATCTTATCTGTATGTTTCCTAATAATTATTAGTCCCGCAGTGGACTGACAGTAAAGACGCAGTTCCCGGTAGAACACCGAAGTCAAGCATCATTGTAAGCGGGTGTGTCACCACTGCGATCAGCCTTTGTAGAGATCGAGTGTACGCGGTATCTGTCCTCGTTTAATTGTTTTACCGTAAAGTGCTCGACTTTACTCGCAGGTCGTTAGGTTACCAAAGAGGAGGAGCCATCCCCTCTGCAGAGGAGGAACATTCTCAATGGTGTTTAACCTATTGTGCAGCTTTAGTGTGACGTAAATAAAATTCATACCTATATCTACCACTAATAATTATTGTCGAAATTTGTTTTAAATTGGCCCAGATTTATTTTATTTGTTTTACTGAGTTTACTGATTAGGTGATTAGCATGCTGGGCTCTCCAATCTCGTTGCCAAATCAGTAATTTATAATAAAATACCTGTTTTTCAGCTTATGTGAAAGTATTAACGATTATTAGGAAAAACAACATAAGAATGAAATATAATTAAATTTATATAAATAGAAGTACTGTTTCAAATTTTCACCAAATGCTAGTTCATAATAAAGAGGCGTCTCTATGATTATATTTTCAGCATTGGATCGCTATGCAACTCTGAATCCTTACAATATCCCGTCGTATCAACCAAACAGGTTTTGTAACCGATGTGCTAAATATGCAAAAGAGTAAAAAAAATTAACATTATTCTTTTTGTAATGCGAGACTGTATTTATATAGGAATATCAATAACCATTTCAAAGTGTGCTTGTGCTCTTTTCACAAGGTTTTTACTCTCCTTAATTTCTGTTTTTATTTGGTTAGTTTAGTAATGTTTTTAATATATTTGCAGTATCAGAATCATGCCAACTTATACGTAAAAAAATGGAAAATTAAATAAAATTTTCTTCCTAAACGGAAAGTGTACACGCGTGATTGCTTCAAAAATACCAACACCTTTCAGGATAATAAGAAAGAAGAGCGTGTTGCGGATGTCGTAAAATTGATTGACCAGTTCATATGAAAGCATTTAAAGTGAATGTAAAGTCAAAATCAGATGGATGCTATTCCAATGTAGAGCAACGGACAGTAGTGCAATGTTTAGTATCAGAAGGCAAATGTAGTGCGGACGTTTAGTGACGAATTTTTGATGCTTATTGCGAACACTATCTAGGATAAACGGCTGTGAACGTATAATGTATGAGTGATTCCACGTCGGTGGAAAAAAATGTTAACTTAATTATAATTTTAAGAGTATGAAAAGAATCTTATTAATATATTCACACTTGGTACTAAGATACTTCAGGCAAGGATACGCATTAGACAAATACGAATGGCAGGCATGGATATACACGTGTAAATATATTAAATGTGTTATGCGTGGGGTAAAACCATGAAATCACTCATAAGTTTTCATGATATCCGTAAATTAATATTTGGTTAACCAAGATTTAGGGTATGCTAACACTATAATGTCGAATTAACCATTGTTGTCGAGGAAATCGTAGGAGGAAATTGAAGAATTACGACTCGTGACATCCGAGCAATACTTGCATATTAACTGAGTTGAAAAATAGGGCAATCATGTTTTTGCTTATAAAAATCGCACAACTTACTGTTGTTCAGTCAGGACGTATTCTTTGACACTTTGCATTTACTTTAAATGCCTTTATGTGAGTCAGTTACGCGCAGTCTGCAGTGCGCTTCAATTATTTCTCTTTATATTCATGAATATTGCTGTCTGACGCAATCACACGTTTCCACTTTGGGCAACTACACTACGTAGGAAATTAAGGGAATTTGAAGACTTGGTCTATTACAGAGGTCACCAAAGTGGTCCACATAGATCCCCCCCAAGGACCCCCAATATTTGCAGTGTCACTTATTAAAATTTTCACAGTTTTGGATAATTAGTTATTGTTTCGATAAAACCATTCGTTTAGTTCAGATATCAATTTTAATTATCAATACATGTAAAAAAGAAGGTAAGCATTAATAATATGGATTAGTACAGCCCGCGACAACTATAGCACTCTTTGTTTTTTTTTGCAAAACAATAAGAACCATATTTTTTATTTAGCGGACTTATTTGGTAAATTTAATTATGTCCAAACAAAGTTGCAAGGAAAAGATGTAGCAATCATCGAAGCTCGAACAATACTGTAAGGTTTCCAAGTAAAATTAAATTTATTTAGATCTTCATTGCTACGTAAGGAATATCAGTATTTTTCAAATCTGCGACAATTAGAAATAAAAGAAGAAGACTTGGAACTTTATATACAGTTCATCTTCAAAAATTGAGCTACGATTTTAAACTGCGCTTTGTTGATTTGGAAAACATTGACATCCCTGATTGGATTATTGTGTCATTTTCTGTTCAAATTGAAAACGTGGACATCAACCAGCAAGATGAGCTTTTTGAATTATTATCGGATCATGAAGCAAAGACGATTTTTAAAAATGTAACAATAAGCAAGTTTTGGACAATTATAAATATAATGCAAAAATATGTAAAACTTTACGAAATAGCTCAGCCATTTATGCTAGCATTTCCAAGTTCCTATATGGTCGAAGCCGGTTTCAGTCACGTAAATTCAATCTTAACTAAGTACAGAAATAAATTAAATGTGGAGTTTTGAGGGGATTTAAGATTAAAATTGACCAATTTTGAATCCAATATAGCGAACTTTGCAAAAAAACACCAGGTACACCCATCTCATTGACTAAGAAGCAATAAATTTGTATCTACTTTACTTATTATTTATACTTATTATAATTACTTATTATTTAATGAATATTAAGGTATTTAAATTTCAAAACTAATATATTTTTCATAAAACTATTGTTACACTATGTACTATTACTTTAATAAATGTTTAAAATCATAAAATAAATGTACAGTATCCAATAGAGTTTTATTTTAATTAACAGAAAATTACTTTTATGGAGGTCGATGGAGATTTCGAAAAATTTTGTAAGGGTCGATGATCAAAAAAGTTCGTCGACCAGTGGTCTATTATCTCTAAACTACAGGACCGATTTTAGTGAAATTTGATATGTACTTACATTGATACGAACAAATAACCATTCAATAATTGTAATACACAGGCATGATCGTGCGTAACACTTGTTGGAGTCGAAAAGTATGAAACAGAGGTTGCAGAATTAAATAAAGCAAAAAAAAGAAAGAAAAGGGGTTAATAGGGGGTAGGGTCCCTTCTTACAGATATACAGGCCTTGCAGCGTGATGTCATACTTGAAATAAGGTAGTTTATTATTTCCTGTGACAATTGGCCTGAATTGTCCTGTTTCAATTTCATACCTTCAGACTCGAGTGATACACGCGATCATGAGTGTGTATTACAATTGTTGAATGGATATATGTTTTGTATTGTATCAATGTATGTACAGTCCGCAAAAAAAAAGATATCACCCTGAATAACTTTCGTTCTAACGATCGGATTTTCACGAACTAAGTGTCAATCTTAATGGTTCCTGGGGGTGACCTCAAATATGCTAATTAATTAGTGCTAACTATTAATTAAAATATGAAATCAAACAAAAAAACGTACTTTCTCTGAATAAACATCTATTTTTTTTACATATTTGGAATCCTGACCCTTAAAATAGGGGGGGTAGTCAAAATTTCGAAAAAAATGGGTTGTAAATTGGGTCGCAATAAGGATTTATATATCTGGCGAAG